CAATGCGACGTGCGAGAAAATGTTTTTCAATAATCGTTTAATTTATTTGAAATTTTGATTTCGTTATACGTCTTTAGACTATGCTTGCTTTACGTCTTTAAACTCTTCTTGTAGCCTATCAGTTCCGGCATATAAAAAATTTCTGATAATATAAATATCCAATATTGGTATTTTGTACAGTTTGCATTTGTATGTATTTTTCTCAACGATAAATAAAATACATATCGATATTTCTCGCAGAAATACGTCAAAATGAGCAAATAAATGATTATAATACTACTTGATCAGCGAAATCGCTGTCTTGGGTTGACTATGTTGGGCAAAAGCAGATAAAACCTTATCAAATAGATGGGAACGGTAGCAGATGCTTGTTTATCAGACAACTAGCATTGAGAAAAGCTGATCAGAAATTAGGTTCAAACCCTCCCCTTGTTTTAGAACTCTTAATTCCTCTCTTACTATGCATAAAACCTACTTAATTTGTTCAATCTGTAACAGATCTTTAGCTACCGTTATGATCTCCCGTTGGCGCTCCCGTAGTATGTAAACCAAGATGGCGGGCACCTGAACATAGTATGTGTACCAGATTAGGGTTAGGCCATAATTTTACCCAATTTTTCTTATTTCAGTTCTATTACGAGTTCGGGGAGTAGCCAAGTTACTCTCGTAGTATTTGTACCTGAAATTATGGCCTAACCCTCCCCTGGTACACATACTACGTTCCGGTGTACGCCACCTTGTTGCACATACTACGGGAGTACCCTACCGGCTTTCATGCAGTTCATAATGTGTACATACATGAGTACTCCTGTTTAGTAGTAATTAGGAATTGAAGAATATAAGTATTATTACAGCAAAATTATTCCTCAGGAATCTCAAAATTCTTCCCCTGGTGGGGAATTCGTCCGCGACAGGAAAACGTGGTTCTAATCGGTCTTATCCAGTGCTCTTCAACCGGGTACACGAGCGCACATGAAATATGAAAATGTGGTTCTAATCGGTCTTATCCAGTGCTCTTCAACCGGGTACACGAGCGCACATGAAATATAAAATATTATTTACGCAAAGGACCGATGTGAGCACATTGTTACATCACAAATTATATAGAATTACAGATAATGCGGTCACGTATCTGGGTTGAAGAATATAAGTATTATTACAGCAAAATTATTCCTCAGGAATCTCAAAATTCTCTCCCTGGTGGGGAATTCGTCTGCGACAGGAAAATGTGGTTCTAATCGGTTTTATCCAGTGCTCTTCAACCGGGTACACGAGCGCACATGAAATATAAAATATTATTTACGCAAAGGACCGATGTGAGCACATTGTTACATCACAAATTATATAGAATTACAGATAATGCGGTCACGTATCTGGGTTGGTGGCTGCCATGCACTTCGTTTGATTTAGGTTGAACATTATTCCCGTAGACGCTAAGATGACGCATGATGATATCGCAGTACAATATGTGCTTAAAATTTAATGTTTATTTAGGCCCCAAATAAACATTGATATTTGTAAGGTATACAAAGTCTTGAAAAATTGTAAAAGGTATACCACGATAAAAAAGGTTGAAGAACACTGGTCTAATCATAACGTTATTCCATAAACTCTGTACTGATACTGGATGAAATCAAACCGCATGTTTGAATTTAGTTATTATTAATAAAAGCCATGAAATCGCCAGAGCCAGTGACTCCGGCACGAACCATCTCGTGTTCAAGTATATTTAGATTTCCATTGAGAAGTAGCATAACGAATTGTGAGTGCAACACCAAATATCAACGTTAGCAGGGCCAACTTAGACAGAACAACGAACATGCCATGACAGTGCTTGTTACTATCCGGTTAAAATTTGTCATTATCTTAGGTTAGGATTTGGTAAATACAAGGACTGTTATTACCCCTCCAGTCCATCAATAATTTGTGGCCTGTTTCTGATTCTGCTTCTCTTACTTTGTGTTACCTGCTATGAGGCCCCACAGCAAACATCTCTTGAATTCGTTTTCTCTTTATTTTAGGTATGGTATGGGTAAATTATGTTGAAATGAAGGGGCGGACGATATCGGGATAGCCGAGGTAATTATAAAACATTGATCCTAGCCGTTCGATTTGGGCTAAACTTCGTATTGATAGCAACCTAAAAGAAAACACAGGCGATAACGGTCGTCATCGGAACAGACATTGCATTGCCTTTGTCACAAGAGGTGGTGAAACCTTACGTTTGTGACGCAACAATCTCTAATAATCATAAAATTGTCATTGTAAGTCAACTACTTTTGACATCGTCCGAGTTCTCAAACGTATCTTTTTCAGAATGGAACATTTAAAACACCCTCCAAATATGAATTTGAACATTTTTATCCAAAAATTAGCAAGCAAAGCGATTGCGACTTGATAGAGTCTTGAATTAACATGATGTCATTTCCGTTTAATAAATGACTAAAAAAGTACGAAGTTAGTGTATTAGTAATAATTGTTAAATTGAAGTCAATAATAATTGAATAATGAGTTTCTTATGTATAAATAAATCATAATTAAAATGAAGGTAGCAATGGCAGATGAGTTAAAACGTTAAACGAATGGTTAGAGCAGAGTTTTGCTAATCGGAAAAGAATTTAATTATGTTTGAAGGAAAAAAAACTTTACTTTTCATTTGTGAGTAGAATACCTTGGTGCAAGTTGCGCGCATCACCATTTAATGGTTCATGAAAGATTAAAAAACAGACGTGAAATGTTTTTTATGAATAGTGATGGAAGAATGACGAGTTTCATATTTGGCAAAGAGCGGTATTAAAACGTGTTGGAAACCACTGGGTGGGTAGGAGCAAGCGTAGAATGTTGGGATTCATTACAAAGAGAGTGGTTCGCGCATTATAGTTTGCACACAAAAGACATGAAACTCATTCGATTGTATCATTTTAATAACCGCATTAAAACCAATACATAAAAATACACGTAAACATTGACCGAGGCTCTTTTCTAATACTTGAAACTTTAAATTTTGAAGTCAAAATAATTCAGTTTTAAAAACGTCTTTTCCCACTTGGTCTTAAATAGTGATTTTAAAAATATTATTCTTATTGTAATGACGGGGCTCATTCGAATATGAACTGAATTCTCGCTCCAATATGCATTTACTGGGGCGTAAGGCGCATATTTGTATATAGTGTCAGTATCTCTTGGCATTTGAGTGTAGTTTACGACAGGGCTACTCAACTAGCAGACCGCGGTCAGAATCAGGACCTTTTGAGTATTAAATTTGGACCACAGCCGCGTTCGACTTTGGAAGCATCATTTGGTTTTTTATTTCATAATCACGACGTAATCCATTTTTGCTAAACCATCAAGGAAAAGAATGTCAGAGCACCGAAGCACGATATTGAGCATTGCTCTTATATTTTGTCAAACGATGCATTCGAATTTTTCGTTTGCATAGTTAAAATATATTTCTGGAATGACCGGACCCCAGTAATTTTAAAATTTTGTGTACGGACCTTCGGTGAAAATAATTGAGTAGCCCTGGTCTAGGACTTCTAGGAGTCTCCTTCAATACTGAGTAAGTGCGCGTGGCCATGTTGAGATAATTTTCTCGGTGTCACTTTGGTATGCGATCTCAGTTGTGTGATTTTAGTATCAACCTAATCCCAACCCAACAATGACAGAGTTTGGGTTAGAAACTGAATTCTATGAGAATGTATTCACGAGATTAAACGTAAACTGAAGTGAGTGGTGACTGGTGACACTCAGTTTTTAGTTTCATGACGCTAATATCGCATACCAAGTGGCACCATTTTCTCTCTTAAAAATTAAATTTGTGGAGGAAATATAAAAAATTTTTTTAAAAATATTTCATCGGCTATGTAAAAGATCATTACTTGCGTATAGTCATAACTGGATTATCATTAAGAAAAAATTCATACGTACTTTCCTTGTTTACCAAAAATATAGGTTTACGAATGTAGGTATAAATATTATGCAAATATTTCTGTGATGTAGCTTTTATCTATAAAACAGTTTTTGTGGTCAATCGATTTTTTAAAATCAGTTTGACACGAAGGATACACATATAACACATTTCTCATTAAATATTTAAAGTACTTCGACGGCAAAAGCATAAAACTTTTCATTAGATTTATTTTTCGTAAATTGAAAACTCCAGTGACGTATTTGGAAAATGTTACAACATTTCCCTGCACGATGAATCTATTTGTGTGATGACTGATGAGATATCGCCAGGCATAAAAATATAGAAAATAATGTAAGATATTGGTTCATTAATTTTTTTTAATAAGTTCTCCAACCATGGATTCGAACATGGCCGAAAATAATTAGCTTATCTGGCCTGTAGGGAGTTAATATAACATCAATAGAAAATTTGTGCCGCGGAATAGTGCGAAAAGGGGGTGTTTTGTACATGTATTTAATAAGATGGAGCAGCAGATATTGCAGTATGCCAAATAGAACAGAAGTGTAATAATATAAGATGAAGGCTATATAAGACAGTTCCTGGACATTCAGCTGACAGGTTGTTCATTCAGCTGACAGGTTGTCCGAAGTAGGCAGTTATTCTCAAATTTACTACTTAATATTTGTAAGTTGGCTGACTTTTTTAGCCCTGCGAAAAAAATATGATCCCGATCCTGGCCGTAATAGAAAATTTTTTATTCAAAGTTCGTAATAGAAAATCGTTTATACCAAGTCAAAATAAAGAAGAGCCCAAAATGTTTCAAAGGGTGTGTCAACATGTACTATATTTGATGTGGAGGATGGTTTATTCTCTTTAAATAAAAATGAGAAACAGGTTCGAAATACAGTTCTATGAGGAACAAATGTAAAAAATACAAAATAACTATAGTCAGTTAACTTTCCAATACTTTGAGTAAAAATTGTTCTGGTGGAGAGTATAGAGTTCCACCAACAAGTTATTTCGATAAAGCAAAATTACCTTGAGCTGGGATAAAATTTCATATTTGGAATCTACTTGAGAATTTATAATATTTTTAAATACTTTTTATAGTACTTATAATAATATACACCTTCAATACAAAACAATGTTTGACAACGCTACGGCTTCAAGAGAGAACCTCTCAGTCTGGTGCATCGTGGTTCCATTTTGTGACACAAGAAACTGTAACATCAGTCAGCACGATGCACCAACATCATGCGATAAATGTTACCCAGTAACAATAGCTTTGCTGTTCATAGTTCTTTTATTCTTGAGCGTGTTCATCGTACTTGGCAACATTGGCATTATTCTTGTCATAATGAGGTAAGCAAGTTTTTATGACGTAATATAGAATTATTGGAAAAAAAAATTGCAAGTGATGCATTAATTTGACAGAGAATCCAGTGGACCGTGGACCTAACTAAGTAAAAATGCAATCATTAATGTGTAATAAAATGAGTGAAATATGGCGAACAACAAAGTATACGATCGTTCAATGGTTTTTATGCGTAGTAACAGAATAGCAAGATTGCAAACGAATCATTAAGCAAATTCTTCGCACTAAATAGGTATAGGGGCCTGCATACCCAAATATGCAGGGATTCCATATTAAAATAAATAACTCCATTTGTGATAAATAGCGTGGGTATGTCGAACTTTAATGAAAGTATACGATCCTTCAATTGTTTTATACGTAGCAATCTGTCCAGAGCCTTGTTCGCTCCGGGCGAAGGCATGACGCACACCATGAAAAGTTATCGATATAATTAACGTTACAAAGTTCAGAGTATGAAATGTTAAAACATCGATCTTTCCAATGAAAACACTTGTCAGGCGACAATTCCCGCCATTATTCCAAATTATATTATGGCGTCATAGAAGTCGCGCGAGTTCGCGAGACAATGGAAACAAGATACCGCGCGCATGACAAAAACAATCTGGATCATTTAAAAAAAACATCTATATTTGATATAAATGGCAACAAGCCTTTCACGGGAAAAAGATAAACTCCTTTGGGGTAGAAACTCTTACGTATACCCCAAGCATGATATGAAACAATCCAAATTAGAAGAGGATAAACAAAATCCTTGTTTTGAGACCATCATCACTCAATGTCAAAAAATGTTTTTCACTGGAAGTTTACTAAAGCAAAACAACACAGGTATTATTACATATAATGTGAAAAGCAAGAAATAGGATCGTCAACTATTTGTTGAATTCTACCTTTTTTTTATATATAAATGCAAAAACAAGTGTCCGTCAAACAATTTCAAAAAATGTTTTATGGCTCTCGTTTCTACAAAGGTAACCAAAGCAAACCAACACGCGTATTTTTATGTAATTTGAATAGCAACATAATCAGCTACTATTTGGCAATCCAAGCAATCTACCATTAATTTACTGTATATAAATAAGCCATTTCAATGCAATGAATGTAATGAAAATGCAATGGTCATTCACGATTTATTAAATTGGAAAAAAAGTTGTTTTGCTTTTTACGACGAACTCATTATTTGGAGTTGATAAAATTGCTAGATAAAGTTTTTATGTAATTTACCAATGTGTGATAGTCGTAAAATTGGATTCCGATATTCCAATTTTCGATGTTACTCATAATACTAAAAAATATCCAAATTTTTGTGACTAACCAGAGATGAGACAAAACATACATTTTAACCGTTTGAGCCAAACTTGACGTTTTTGCAAGGTTTTTGGTGGTTTTTCACGTTTTTTTCAGGCGGCCATTGGGGTTAAAAACGAAAAAATTGATATTAACAAGTCTGTAATATCGGTAAAATCCAAAAACAGGGTGACAATTACTATAAATTAATTATTAATAACATCACTTTCGTCCCAACCTAAAATATCGGAATTTCCATTGTGACGATTTTTCGATATATGAAAATGGGACTCAATATTTTGGCTATAATTTGTTTGATAAACAAATGATACTCGAGAGCATTTCAGGAGTTTAAATTGCATTGCAAAAAATGCAGATCGAATATTCATCTCCAATTTTAATAATGAATATTAATTTGATCAAACGCCTTGGACGAAAGGAGTGTTCTCTGTTAAACGTAGATTGAAAGAAAAATACATTTTTGCATTCTTGCAGAAAATTCCTTTTTCAATGCTCATAAACAATTGAAATGATTAGTAACAAAATATTTATCGCTTGTACAACTTGAATAATATAAAGTTGTTCCAGATAAAAATTCTCGCACGCTTCTTCAATTAAGCAGGATTTGAAGATACAAAATCCATTCATTATAAGCATATTATCTGACAACACAAAATGCATATTTGTACCGGTTCAGTCAAACCTATTACCGGTAAGTATATTGTGAGACCAATGTATTAGATTAGCCCAATGAGATTCGAACCTCAGAGGTATCTAAAGCGACTTGGCAACGTGGCCCGGTCACATGAAGTTGCGGTAATTTGCCCCCTTTTTCGTTCTGGGGAATAATTGATTCAAAACTGCAATAATATAGTGTAATGACCTGTTTTCCGCGAAAATCAAAAATGTCAGAAAAAACACCAATAAAATAAACACTCTAATTTCCGCATTGTAAATTTCACGCCCTATATCACCGCATAAATAAACGGATTATAAATCAAATTTTCCTGGAAATGCGTCTCGAAATTTTCAATTTGCGGCAACTATCTGGCAACCACAGATCACAAGCGGAATCTCGTTTCGTATTATCAACCGAACACTGATAGAACGATTCGGTCCAAACGTTTCATTCAAACTGTTTACATATTCATAGCAGTTTTAAGCGTGCCGGCGGTAAACTCAGTATTCATATCCGCATATGGTAGATGACCTTTGACCCCGGCACCTTTTATAATAGTAAAACGTACACTCACGAATGTAAAAATGCTTGATAATGAAATACCGTTCAGACTTCCATCTTTCAGTCTTGCCCCATAACGAGTGTGAGAGCAAAATATTGCTTACTGAAAAAATGCTATTCATTTTAAACAGCTTTTCATGGTTAGATGGCAATAGTATTCTAAATCTATGACAATTTTACTTTTAATTAAGATTTTTGCTATTTCAGAAACAAGATATTCCACAACCCTTTCCATATGTTCAAATGTTCTCTGGCGGTTGCTGATCTACTCGTTGGGATCTTGGTGTTACCTGGAGCTCTGGTAGAGATACCGATTGTATTACTAACACCATATGATCACAACAAAACGAATTATGGTAATTCTGAGGGCTGTTTTTTTTCCATATTGCCATACTGGCATAAAAACTTGATAATTTTAGGTAGCGATGGTTTCTATATACGTATGTTTGCTCAGAGAAAGGTTCAGTAAAACTATGACTAAAAATGGAAAAAATACTAAAAAGTGGGTGCGAGCCACCACGGAAGAGGGCTATACAAATCCATTTATTCTTGCGGGAGAGATATTAGTAGACTTTGGCGCGAGACATGAAACAAAGGCAATCTCGGCCAGAAAAAAAAAACTGGAGATAATTCTATATAGAGCAATAAGTCTTAACTTATCCATTGTCTTATTCCGAACACCAAGGGGGTGAAGGAGGACCTGGCAATAAGACGCCTAACTATAGCCAAATCTTTCATTTTTGATATTTTTACAGATGGTGATACTGAAACAATTTATACCTGGAATGGAAAAACCGTTCATCCAGATAGTGTGTGCGCAAGGTGAGCTGATGTGTTTGTTTGATGATTTTGACTTTTGTAACACGTTTCGTATATTCGTACTACACGACTATAATAAGCGCAAATGCAATATACTGAAATTATGGGAAATACTACTATTGCTAGCTGTAGAATTTTTACTAAGAACACCTTTACAATATTTTAAACGACACTTATTCGCAACGAACAAGGCCATGTATGAGCGGCCCCTGATAGCTAACTATATGTTAGTAGACAGTTAGAAGTTACAATTCTAGGAGGACTCCTCTCTCTCCGATTCGGCATCGCCTACTCAATTTATTACACCTCCGATGAAATCGTGGCCATAGGATTAGAATCTAAGAGTGTAGACTTTTTTGCTAAAATAGTTTAGCAGAGCGCTTCAACCGCTAAGGCAGTGGGCTCTCAACTCTTTGAGTAAGACGATGTTTTTTTCAAAAACACGTTGAAAATACGTGAAAGGAACGTGAATAATAAAATAAATGAAAAGTTCTAAAAATGTTTATATTCAAAATAAGGCGGACAAGATCAAATCTAACGAATATTTTTATTTTTAATTAGCTTCACCCCCCCCCTCCCCTCAAAAAATGTTTACGCCCCCCTTGTGAAGCGCGCCACACCATTTAACAAATTTAACAACCAGTGCGATAAGCCATTAAACCCAAGATAACATTGATTCCGATTTTGTTCGCATTGTTGTTGTTGAATTACCCCACCTTGGAGGTAATTGACCGGTCCTTACAATGTCTATCGATTCAAGTCACAAACAACCCCGTATTTGTATGCGCACAAACAACAGGTATTTTGGTAAATTGTGGTAAAATATTGTGATAATAGAATTAAACTAGCAGAAGAAATTCAATTATTAAACAAGCAACACTTAGTTCCCGATTCTAACGACAGAAGAAATCGCTATTATGATGTCATAACACAGAAATATTTCGTCTCCTGGGAACGAGTTGAAATCAAATATTGATTTCCTGCCATGTATTTTAATCTGCTTGGGTAATTTTTGAACTTTCGCAAACTCAAATTAAACCGCGTTCATATGTTTGACAAATGGTCACAACACCGATATGGTAAAATCTAAAATTAAAAAATTTAGATGAAGCTAAAAGCCACCAGTGAATTTCAGTATTCCGCTTAAAATTTTATTCATTCTCGAATTCAAATAATTTGAATTTTTACTGCGAGATATTGACATATTTAGGTAAATCTGGACTTTCCAGACAAGTTAAGTATTAGGTCCTGCATCGAGATCCGATAAGTGCAGCATCTTATATTATTTTCGAATGCTGGATCCTTTTTACCAGTATCATCCAACGTTGAGACTAAATAAAGTTCTAAATCAATACAAACGCCATGCCCAGAATGTTTCGTCGTGCTTAATTTAAATCGTGTCCAGTCGCTTATATTTCGTAATCCTTATCACCAGTCACCACCATGGGTAATTAATTATTGCCTGAGTCATTACTACTACTTGATGCAAAATTGTACCGCCACTATACTATGTAGTTTTAGTAGTTTATGTCTCTTCAGTAGTCGCCCAAATTTTTGCTAATGGAATCTACTTTACTTTGAGTACGCGACACTTTGCTTTGAGCAAGACCGCCAAGGATGTTGAATAGTAGTGAAACGAAACAAATTGCATATTTTTAAATCCCCAGAGATGTTTGTAAAATGCGAATATTACATGATAAAAAAGGTTCCATAAAATCCATCACTGAAAAATATTTTGTATTTCGATATGCATGGCAAACTAAAAAAATTGACCTGAAATTCAGCTCGTCTTACATCTATTTATGTTAAATAATTTAAAAGAATTTTCTGTTCTTTCTTTCTTTTCGAAAATCGATTTTACAGAGATAAACTTTGCTAAGACGTATTAAATTTAGGGCGTAAAACGCTCAGGTTTACAACGCACTTAAAATAAACAGAATAAAAATTTATAAATATTTTCCTCTAATACACAGACGTCATATAAACAAATATCATATAAGCGTGTTATAATTCGAAGTGTTCAACTTGTTTTTCCTTATTTTCACAAAACAGCTTTACTTAAATTTCACCCTTTCCGGTAACAACTCTCAAACTGGTTGCTGTGTTTTGTTTAGAACAATTATAAAAACAAGCTATAAAATATTTGAAACAAGGAAAACGGACTATTAAGGACAGATCAATGAATTTAAAATTTATAATATTCGCTCCAATGAGTTTATGAATGATTTTTGACCGAATAAACTGAATACAAAATATCGCGGTAATGATATTTTAAAGTTCAAACGGGTTTCAATCGCACTGCACGCTCTTATCCTACCCAGTCAGTCGCAACGTAAGGTATGGCAGGATTGGCATGAAATGCATAATAAAGTCATTTGAGCAATCCTATAATAAAATTATGACTCAAGCAACCCGTTGCCGTCAAAACACCATTTACAAATTGGATTGCGATTGACGTGAAATATGACCCAATATTTAAATCAATAAATAAACCAATCAGAACTCGTGGCTAGTCAAGCATGAAATATTTGCAGAGCGTGTTTTGTACCTACTTTTGTAAGACAATCGTTAGCTTCTTGATTATGCATATTGAATGGCGACTAATGAAAAATGTATTTATTTGTGAATGATTTAGGTAATCACAATTGATTAATATTTTGTTAATTCAGAGAGGACGAGAATCAATTCCGCCTTGAAGTAATGATCACTATATAGAATGTTTTCAAATACGGAAGCGAGTTGTGAGTTTATGGCGTCATAAAGGAAATCGTTCCGCTCGAGCACATTTCCAAATATCCTTTAATGTGGGAATTCACGCCCACTAAAAACATCCTGAACAAACAAGGTCGAACAAAAAACCGACAAAGCCTGATTTTGTGTTGAAATTACAACACAATACGACAATGGGAGTCATGGCTGATTTCATTTCGTTGTTAAATCGTTTGAGCTACCGTTTGTGGTGACAACAGATATCGACAAAAATGTCGGATATCACCTGTTTTAATATTTGAAGTTGTGAGTTTGGTGCGGTTTATATGTAAACAGGAATGTCCTGATAGTAGTCCACACAATGACAGACTTGTGGGCCTATTAAAATTTTAGGACTGGGAAGTGGAGTTTCCCTCTTTACAACAGTGTCAGAGCTACTTTTCCGGATTTTTGATTTATTTTTCGAGCTACTATTTCCAAAATTTAGATTTTTTTTCATAGGTGGTTGGGATGGAAAAAGGTTCTTGCACTTGAATTCACCCATAAATAATAAATGACAAACGAACCACAAAGCATTATTACCTACAAAGCGGCGCGAATTTGGAAAACCATTTAATGCAGAAGGTTCACGCAAGTCAAAATAAAGTAACACACAAGGACGGTCCAAGTCAGAATTGAAGAAAATAAACTCAAAATAAGAAACTATACTATACAACTATAGGCAATCCTACATGTAGCTGATTAATAAAATACGTGGAAAGTACTAATAATAAGAAAATTTTACGAAACTCAACGTAATCAGTAGAACTTTCGAACTGTCTATACGAAACGGGCACACATTTCTTATTTTTCCTACACACGGTCGTTACATAAGTTGAGAAGGCACGGGTGAAACTAAATTTGGAAAGAGAATTCTGGTCGGGGTCTGTGAGATGAAAACTCATAATAGAAATCCACTCGAGTATACAAAAAAACATCAGAATCATCGGACGCATATCGTTCTATTTTTTTTGTTTTCTTAAATTTTTAATTTGCTACATCAATTAGAATAGAGACGAATGTGACAAAAAAATATTACCTCTTCCTGTCAGGATTGTTTTTTATTACATTATTAATGTCGAATTGTAATTATTAATTAAACAAATTATGCTTTACGGGGTTAACTAATTTAGGGATGCGACGAATCCAAAAAGGTTCGGCTCGGCCGAATCCCGAGTATTTGTGCTGGACTCGTGTCCGAGTCCCGAGTCCAATACTTTTACATAGCTACGAAACAAATACCTAAAGTGATGCTGTTGTTCTCGTATATTGGCCGTAAATTAAACATTCTGTATGGAAAGACTATGTAATTTAAAAACGTTGCACTTAAACACTATTGCTTTCGAGACAATCATTCTCTGAGCGACTAGTTTAAATAAGAATAAATAGGTCATATTCCCCGTTGAAGGAATACTTTGTTACGTAACTCTGATCGACCGCCGCGTCGACTGCTGAAGACGCCGCGCTTGTGTCCTGTCACGATAAATACGGGCCATAACCCACACGTTTGGAACAAATTTTTTATGGGAAATTTTTACTCATATGTTATCTTTTTTAGTCAGCGCTGATACAGACGCCCACTCCGTGATAATTGAGATATTAATAAAGAATTGCCAACTGTGGAAGCATCGAATAAATGTATCTTATAAATATATCGTAACAAAATAGCTAGCTATTCTTCGTTTGAAAACCATCAATAGCTGTTGTCGAATCCGTGGAAAATAAGAATGTGTAATTGTTGATTTTGATTCAATGAAAGAGACGCAAAAGGCGAAATGTGTTATATGCTAGGTTACGGCTGTATGACACAATCATTTTCATTAATACAAATAACGGCGCTTTGAAAAGCAAAATCAAATTTATTAACATTAATTTAGAAGTGAGAGTTACGAGTAAGAATTCACATACGACTCTCGCTAACAGACAGAAACGATAAATGTGAGAATTATTATGGTTTTCTTTCTGGGCCTATCGTTATCTTAACAATTCCCAATTTTGCATAAAGCGCGCCAACACCTTTTCACATATAGAAAGGTCAAACCAGATTAAGTGAGGCAGGTAAATTATGTATTATATGGAAATATTGTTTCGACTAGGTAGAAATACCATAACTCGAAACAGCACGCAATGGTAAATTTCCGGGGTTTTTATTTATTATCTAATATTAAAATAACACAGCCACGATAGGTATTGTTCGCTTAAAATAGGGACCGTAATTTACAAACTGTGATATGGAAGATCAAATCCAGAAGATGAGGCCAGAATAAAATTAATATATTTATGAATTCACTAATTAATAGATGTCTTTAATATCTTCGCCGATTTGTACTCACACTTCTGCCTGAAATATAAAAACGAAACTTCGATGTCCGGCGTTGCGTGAGAACTGATAGTGAAAAAGGGTGCTTTAAAAATATAGTTTACCAACCATAATTAGGATGTCGGTCGCCGAAACGATCGCGGTGACAAAAAAAAACAATTCACGATTGTGATAAAATTACGGATAAGAAGTAAAGACGCCGCATTGTTATCGAGTCTCCAGTCTTCTAGTAATTTTCTACTATCGGTAAATTAAAAGGAAAAACGGTAGTCGAATTATTCGATCAGGAAAAATTCGATTTTGCCCGTCACTAATCGTGATGTATGTAAATAATTATTGAATAAAAATAAAAAGTCGGCCCGATTAACATCCAATTACCACGCGTAATAGCTTCCAAATTTATGCACATTTAATCGATGCGACTTGCGAGATTGTTTTTGTACATATATACGATTGTAACGCCACTGACATCTGCGAGTTGTACTTTTCTCTTAAAAGAACCGTAATTTTCACTATTTTATCGTTTTATTTCTAACATTTGTTTCTCTCCGGAAATAGTTAGATCATTTATGGAACGATAAAAGGCGAACAGCGCGACATGGTTACCGCTGATTACGGATTAATCACTGTTAGAGGATTAGCAAGTATATGCTTGAAATAGGACGTGGTAAACATTCACTAAACGACGTCTGGCACTGGAAGGCAAGCTACACGCGCAACACTGGAATTTATTCAGCTGACTTTCGCTGACATTTTTTTGTTCTTACGGCGTCGTGAATTTGTAGTTTTGGCGCCTAGTTTTAATTTCACCGTAGAGAAAATAGACTGGACAGTCTCGTGGCAAAACAGAACGAAAAAGTTGAATTTTTCGTCGAATCCGCCACCAGTCTGCGCTTGACTATCGCGTGACGTATGATATCCCGGACTCGGGTAAAATCATCAAAGACTCGGGCCGAATCCGAGTATCAAATTACGAGAGATTCGGCCACGAATCCGAGCACGAGTCCGAATCTTGTCGCATCCCTATTAACTATAGGGTATTGTGTACTGAACTGCAAGTCCTTTCTCTTGTTTACTTTCTACTGCGGATCCGTATGTGTCAGTTGCATTGTTATTCTAAATTATTCTTTGTCAGTATTTTATTTGAAGTCAGATCAGCCTCGTGAGAATGCAATAATTTTTACATATTTGAAAACTATTATTTGTTTCGTTCAGATCAGTGTTTGCCAACCACCGTGCCGCGGCACATTAGTGTATCGCGGAATGATTATTGGTGTGCCGCGAAGAGATTTCATTTTTGAATTTATTTCAAGTGATTCCAATAGACAGTTTGAATTGTTTCATTTACTTTAGATAATTAAATAATATGCAAATAAATTCCGAGTGCGTAACCTATAATGATTTCATTGCTCGCGGCTGCATATTTACGTTAACAATAAAAATCTATATACTCCTTTTATTGGCTAAGAAGCGTGAGCACGAATTCGAAAATGTTGAAATTGTCTTTGGCAAAATAAAACAATTAGAAAATATGAACCATACGGAACTCTTACTGAATAACAAGTTGACATGTTTTTGAGTCCGGAATGACCAGCGATACGAGTTCCCGGATAAATAATTTCCGTCTGGCGCGACAATCCTACACGTATTTTCCTTTTATCTAATGTTTACACTGGACGTCGTTTTAATGTCAATTTTACGCGAAAACACGATCCCATAATCTAATCAGCTACCCACAACCTTGGTCAAAGAGTTACATGTTCGGCTGGCCATTCGTGTTTTTGTACATGTATACACACGTTCTGTTTACTTGAGTCCCGATAGATATGCCGTGTCAAAATAGCAGGTAATTCAGTATCGATTACGGACCTATTTGCTTCGAAGAAGATTAAAATAACATTGATTTGAATAATTATATCCGCGAAACACACACAAGGTAACATGTTTTTGAAAATTAATCTGAATTCTGATCATCGAAGGTTTTATCAAATGCAGGTTCCTCAAAGAAATAATTATTCCCAATTCATGCTCGTATTTTCTAATTCTTATGCCATGGCACCATAAAGTCACTAAACTGTTTCTCAAACAACAGTCAGGCTTATTGTGAATATGTACAAATATATTTTGATTTACCGAAAGTTTTAAATATAATTCCCGTGAACTATCCTTATGCTGAAGATAAACGACTCAAATAAAAGCCAGCAATTTTGCGGCCTGACGGTCAAACATAAATAGATTGAGGTTTCAATACAAAAGGAGTGCTTTCACGATATCATCATCTGATTTTTTTTTTCAACACATTCGCAAATGCTGTAGTGCCAAAGAGTGTCTCGAAAGGGCAGTGTCCCACTCTTCGCTACCCTGATCCGAGCAGTGGTACAGGCGTAGCAAGTGTGCTAAAAAGAAAAGGAGTGTGGAACAAATCTCAAGTTGGGCACGACATTTCTGAGACATCGGGCGCCACAAAAAGCATTACGTTTTCCAGACCATTCTGTTTCCATATTCCCAATAATTCGATGCAAGTAAAGATAATTCGATGCAAGTAAAGATAACACGACGCAAGATAACACGATTATGAATGTGCTAAACAGAATAATTCTTTTTCAGAATTCACCGGGAAGGCTTGACTACCTACGGAATGCTTCTGAGCATTGTGGGAGTTCTTTCAATCATGGCATCAATACTAAGTCTTGTACTTCTAAGCGTCGATAGATTTCTGGCTGTTCTTTGTCCTATCAAGTATAACCAGGTAATGATAACGTAAATGCAAAAGTTAGGTTTAAAAATTGAAATATTATTCCAATCGCTTTTTGAATAGCCTTCCCCGTAGAGCGCATATTGTGCTGTCGTATTTGACAGCACATTTAAATTTTTGGCAGCTACACAGTGTACTGCCAATCGAGTGAAATTTCTATGTAAAAATGGTCCTTTTATTAATGTATCCAGATCATTAGCATAAATGAAACCTGGATATTAGTACTGCAAAAAACATACGCACATATATATCAACACGTCTATAAAGAAACGCTACATTCGAAAATGAAGTTATGAAAAAATGGGTTTATGTAATGCCCGTAATGGCATGTAGCATGTTTTTGGCCCAATTGTCGCACCAACATTCTATTTATAGTAAAAATACGTTTAAAAAATTTTTCTTTTCCAGGGACGAGCTATAGGCAACAAAATGGCGGGAGTATTGATAATGCTTGTTTGGGTTGCCTGCATTACATTATCGGTCATCCTTCCAATAGCAATGGGAGACGAGTATTTCAGGTAATGGAAATTAAGTTTCACAATTTTAATCCAAATTTAGACAGTCGTTATTGGACCTAGAATGGGCATATGGTTCGTCTCGTTATTATGTTGTTTTTGTTGTGATTTTTTTTTTCTTCTTGTAAAAAAAGCATTTTTTCATTATAGCTATTATTGGACCAATTGTTTTGAAATTTCCAGTGGTTAAAGATTGCATTTGTCGCGAGAATTAGGCTGTTATTATTAATTCTTTCGTTACTCGAGCGTATAGTTCTATTAATTACATGACGGGCAAAATAAATAATATTTGAAAAGATAAATAATCGACACCACGACCATGAAATGTAAAGATTTTCTCCTTAGTTCACAAATCACAAGCTATCATAAATAGATTACTGCACACGCATATACTCACAAATCATTTATTATTTTACATGCCTATTCGACTTCATAAATCATATTTTATTTCACAGTTTTGTTCTCACGTCTACGATGGTGTTCACAATGGGAGTGAAAGACAGCGATGTGGTATTCTTCTACACAATATTTTCGATCGGGCTCCCTTATATAACACTACTTGGATTAAATCTTGGAACGGGAGCACTTTTGTTTAAAAAATGGGCAAAAATAAAGAAAAGAACTAACAGTGAGTGTCGTTCAATTATAGGACAATGCTCAAATATATGGATAGAAAAAGTCAAATCGTCAATTGATGACGCTATACGTTTCGAAGTCAGAAGATCGGCTCTCGAAAACGCAGATAATTTAACATAAAAAAAGGATTGAATATCATTTTTATATTGGGTGAGAGGAAAGTCGATTTTGGAAAGTCGACCGTTTAATCATGACGTACCACGGTTCTTCCGGTTGCTAGTCCATGTCGGTTATGGAATTCGTTAGCCAATTACTTGTTTACATGGACTCGATGGTAGAGGAAGCCGTAACCGAACATCGGTTACGTAAAACAACCTACGGCGGTAAAGAGCCCTATTGAATAATAATAGGCTTTTTCACTACCGTAAAATTGAAGGAAATTTTTCCTTCCAACACCCAAAATGAGGTAAAAACAAATGGAATGACAGTTATTTTTCGACAAAATATATAGGAAATCTCCTGTAATTTTCCAGATGTACCAAAAACGAGTCCTACACGACAAACGAGTCAGGCAATACGACGAAGAAACGAAGTAAAAGCTACAGTAACTCTGTTGGTCATGGTACTGGTGTTCACAATGAGTACAGTTCCATCACTCATCGTTCTTATGGTCTTCAACGACCAAAATGCAAAGGGGACATACGAGGAGGGAAACTACACTGAAGGGGTAAGTGTATACACGCAATACCTGACATGGGCAAAGTACGGCCCGCGGTCGAATCGGGCCCGTTGGGTAATTCAATCTGGCACGCCTGATTCTGCCACAACCAAATTAAAACTAAATTTCGATGTTTTGATAAAAACAAATTTTAAAAAGGAATTTGTTGAGATTGCGATTAAATTGAGTTTTGGCCAGAGATTTATTGTTTTTCACTTTTGTTTTGAAACACTGTAAATATTGTTTAAAAAAGGTAACTTTTTACGTCACACTTACATGGCCTGCAGGCTAGGTGGGCGACAGCTATAAGGTAGCCAAGCTGTAGGAGTTCTCGGAAATATCTTTGGTTTAAAAATCGAATAATGGTTTAAAATTATTTCGACTTCTTGCCCTATTTTAACGACAGACATAATTACAGGTTACAGACATTCCTATAAGCGTTTAATGGCAAAGGGGTTATTCAATAAAATGCTGTTTTTTATGCAATTGAATAAATTTTAATGATATTCAGATTATCTACGTGTTCCTTGTTCTTCTGCTTGTCAGTAACAGCGCGTGGAACTTCATTATATACAGTTGGAGGTAATTTATGTTTTAAAAATTATTAACACATCTTGCTATATTACACATTTAAGCTATGAATAACGCTCAAAACAAGTACGGTGAGCGCTATTGTCTGATAAAATGTTTGGGATTAGAAAACATATGCATTTTTGCAAAAGGTACCATACAGTCAAAGACGAGAAATTTGCACTGGCCTAGGTTTTTTTAGCTTTGAAGATTACATTGGAGGTATCAATTGACCTATATCCAGACGCCCAGAGTAAGGCTTAAGACAAGCAATCGCCAAACTGCGGTGCATGGCCTAGGTTTTTAAATAGGATATTGAGGACATGAGTTGCAAAGAAAAAATTCGTTCCAAACGCTATTTAATGCATCTGCTTTATCCATCGTATCCATACTTTGTCAGAAATAGTAAAATCGAATTTGAGCTTTGTCCGCATTTAAGCTTACTTTGGCCAGTCAAAATAAGAGGAAATTTTGTTTAAAATAGTACATCTATAACATGCTATATACCCGCGCTCCGAACTAGGTTCAAAACAAGCATTCAGGGGCTTCAATTGTTTCGGTTATTGCAGCTTTAAAAAAGCTATCTCAATGATAGCGTTCAGTAATTTCAAAAGCTGAGCCTGTGACTGGGTTTATTTATCTTCTGTAGACTGAACATGATTTTCGTTCCAGAAACGAGAATTTCCGTAAAGCTTTGAAGAAGATGTTTGCCACAACAATCGGAAAGAAGAGAAAGTTTAGTTGGGAGAAATTCAAGTCCATGATTACAAGAGGAGACTCTGATCGCAAAAGACGACGAAAGATGATCGCAAAAAGATCGAAAAGCGGAGAGGAGAGAAAGTGAGTGAAATCTGACAATTCTTCTTTAGAATTGGGAAAAAAGATTAAAAATTTTTCTATTTAATCAAGTTTTAAAATTTCAGATATTTTGAAATAGGCAGATTTCAACTATTTGATATTATATGAGCAAATGAATTCTAAAATACCGAATTGTTTGGATATTAATTGTCAACCCATATCAATGGTTTCCGAACAAATTTACTGAATAAAAAACAAAACATTATTACTATTTTTAAAATTCAGACACTTAAAGTAGCCTAGCCTAATAGCCAGATCGGAATTAAGAGCATTGAAATTTTGAATATTTCGCACGGCCCATCATGCTTCAAGAATTACAAATAAACTAGGGAGGAATATAGATGAAGATATGGTCACAATCACCATTGCTGTAATATAGACAGTTGGAAATGGTGATGGATATATTGCTATTTAGCTGTCATATAGACAGCGAACTTGCTGCAGAAGTCGTTTAGCCATCAATCAAATAATAAAAATAAGCAAAAGAGAAACATTTTTTCAGTAACAGTTGTAGTAAACGATATATATTTGTAATGATAGGGTGTATTGAAAATGACACGTTTTTTGTAAGTTTAAAAGCTCTGCTTAAAAAGCAGATATGGCCGAATAAAAGTTTTTCATTTCCAACTGTAGCAATATTATTGATTCATTAACACTATTCAAACATTTTTTTATGTCTTTCATACAAAATAATGGACCTTGACAGCAGTTGTACAGGTAAAATATACAACAACGCAATTGCTTAACGTTGTCCAGGTATTTCGGTCGTTGTGTGAGTGTTGTGAATCGCATGATAATGTTGTAAAAAATATACGTCACCCCGCAGATCTGATATTTAACGACTAATGGAACCATACTAGACTTGCCACTTTGTTCAATAGGAAATTTCATAATTTCATATTTTTTGAGAAAATTTGCTCATAGCAAAGTCACGCGTACCAAGGAGTAAAAGAAACTTATCTGTGGGCGAAGTTAATCATGAGGGACCTGTGCGTGGGGTTAGTCACGAACTACCAAGAGCCACTGTAATTGGGCGGAGTTGATTACGAGTGACGAATGAAGTGCCGAGAGCTACTGTAATTGGGCGGAATTAATTACGAGCGACCAATGAAGTACCGAGCGCTAATGTAATTGGATGGAGTTAATTACGAGTGACCAATGAGGTGTCGAACGTTAACGTTGAGTAGAGTTAATTGCGAGAGACCAATGAGGTGCCGAGCTCTATTTTAATTGGGTGGAGTTAATTACGAATTATTATTAAGTGTTGTTCAGTTTTGAACGGTTACAACATATTTGTTTCAAATTTAGCTTCTATAAATGTCAGCGGAATTTGATACCTGGCTGACCCCAAAAGCTTTGTGGAATTCGCCTTTAATTAGATGTTTTCCTGAACGTCTCGATTTGAAGTGTTTTAATGCAACGTGGAAAGTATAGCTGCATTCAACTCAAACTTCGATTTGCTTGTTTAACCTAATATGACATCGACACATTTGCATAGGTTAAGAATAGCTTTCGAGATTAGATATAATTTGTCGTGCACCAGTAAATTGTATAAGTTATTTCATTCAATGTTCACCAATTCTTGACATGTCCACTGCGCCAGTTGAAGGTTCCAAACCTCGCTATTAATGTCAAAAAATATTTTGCTATTCCGATATTTTTAACACTTGGAAATAGGGTTTTACATAGCAACGATAACGATTGTACTATTTTGTGATTTCTCAGGATGAATATTACGACAGTAAACGGAAAAGCGCAGACACAGAAAGACCCCAAAACGGGGATGCCTATTACTTTCATACCGACAACCAATCACCAACAAGTGTGGAGGGGGGACAACAATGACGTCATCAATACTACAGGAAAGCGTCAAGATAAAAACAGCCAACTATCACTTAATATTTACTCCCCCATAGAAAGATATAATTCCTTAACGAGAAGTATTTCGGCATCCTCAAATACAAATGGATTTACCAGATGCACCGCAAGTACTGTGGTTTCGCCTGAAATGTCGCCGGCGATTATGGAAGAAGACGATTCGATAGTGTTCTTCAGCGCCGTCGACGACAGCGTTGACAACAGCAACTCAACCGAAACCGATAAGAATATGACGTCACAAATGGAATCGTCAGAATTAGAAAATATTCATGAATTTGAAACAGACGCACAGGAAGATTGTACCGAAGAAACCCCCAAAATCGCTAAAACGGAGGAAACCTCGGAAAATCAGGCCGAGAAAAAAACTGAAGAATGCTGAATATGAAGGCGAAGCTGGAAATAACACGGAAGAAATATGTCGCAGTCGCAAATCTAGAAATTTCAAATCTGCTGGCAAAATTGGGATTTCAGACAAATAAAAAAGATAATGAAAAATAAAAATATAATATTAGATCACATTCCAAAACAGCCTATGACGATCATATTAGCCACAATACTCTATTAACACAGAATAAATACAGGGTGTCCAATAAGTCCCTTTGCAGTTTCAATTTTGTTATGAAGTCAGTTCCCAATATATCTTAACCAGGTTTGTTGTTTTTCAATCACTAATTGTTAAGTATTTTTACTTCATTTGATACATCTGTGAGGGCCAAAACAATATATGGTATCGGTAAATCCCCTTTGCAATTTAAAAATATTTTAAGACTTTATGGATACCTTATATGTTGCAAGGCAGGAAATTGTTATTTGCTTCAAAATCTAATATGAAGTTGAAATATTCACTCACATTTTAAATCAAATAGGCACCGTGATATTCTGGCAGAAGAGGCATTACATATATTCCAAAGACAATATATAATAATAAATTACAATCCCTAACAGCTCTTGTCAAGTGTACAAATCAGCCACAAGAGCTTATTACTCAGTGAACTAAGTGAACAGAACAGCATTGCAGCACATCACCTATAAAAACATTCAGCAGAAAAAAACACTCATAACTGCTTGAGACGACCGAACCCGCCACGTATCTCTACTACATAGTACTCTATCTGCTATTGAATGCGTTATTATTTTGTATTTTACTTACTTTCTATATACGTACTACTAACAACTTGGGGTGCAACATTCAATTAAATTACGACCCAGTAATTATAAGGCGATGGAGGCGACCCAGTAATTAAAGTGCGGGAACACCTGTTGCCACTTAGTGACACCAGAAATCTTCTGGGGCCTCTTTACTAATCTTCCATGCCTGGTGTTAAGCGTCTTCCTGGCATGCCTTTGAATTAGCGTCCACTATTCGGGATATGTATAGGTCCTTTATTCTATAATGTAAATGTTAAAAGATCCGAATTTTTAAACGAAAAATGATTTTTCTCTTGTGCTAAGTAATCAATTAATGACCGGTACGGGCATATTTAAAATGTCTTGCTTTATTAATTAACCTTCCTCTTCAATTTAAACTTAGTTGCGTCGACAAAACAAGAGCCACTCTAAAACACCACGGCATTCCGCGGACATAAAAATGTGTGGTAAACTGCTCGATTATATATTGGTGATATTATATATATATAACATTCTTATAATTTACTCTTGTTTACGTACTTATTTCTCTAAATGTGTATTAAAGATTTTTATTAAGAAATTGAAATAAAATGGTGCTACATATGGTTCTATACAATACTGATTATTTAAGACCATCTTCAGCTATTTACAAATCCGTCTGTCATCCACCATTAGACAGCTAACTGAACTTTCTATAGCTCTTTGGATTTGACATATAGATTACATTTACACTTCCGCGGTGATCATTTGGTTTAATAGCGAGCGGAAAGCCAATGAGAATATTCCAATCATATCGGATAAGATTGCTTGTTTTATCAAAACGAAAGTAATTGAACATGAATGGTTTATTCATGCGAGAATCATGGCCTAACGTAAACTTGATGTGAAGAATATTTTGGCACATGCTAGTGTGCAAATGCATAGATATCATTGACAACCAAACTATTTAGACCAGGGTGGTCCAAACTCTGGCCCGCCGCTTCATTACCTGTGGCCCGCGTCACATTCGGAGAGTAATCAAAAAACCGCATTTCGTGTTGTTTCGTCATAAAAGTAATCAGAAAAATCTTTTGACATAATATTGTCATCACTAATGTCACTGAATTAAATAGTGTTATGGCTAGCTGAGGCAACCAACGAAGTTGAATGATGTGCTTGGAAGTCTAAATTGTTATATGGCTTTTTAACTTTTTGGTAGGGAACATATGCTAACGATATAGGCATCATACAAAACTAAAAATCGAATGTGCATTCTATTAGCCTAGAATGGCTATGCCTGATAACTATGTGTTTGCACAATAAAAGTGTTTGTTTTGTATTGCACTGTTCACCTATTTTTGGCACTGTTGTGGCCCGTGAACAATGCAAAAATAATTTTATGGCCCGCGGAGCTGACAACCTTGGACCACCCTGAATTTTCGACACACATAGAAGATAGAACAATGACAGTCTTAATATAGATATAGAACTATTGACGAATATAAATTTTCAGGTTTTGCGACACTGTGAAGCTATAAATTTTAAAGGTCATTTCCTGCAGCTTAGACGTAAAGTGTCCAATATACATTAACCCGACTGGCTGATTTGGAGACGGACCAAGGTCTATCGTGTGATTAGTGATTAACAATCCGCGTTGGGATACAACATATGACTATTTCAATTTTTATTCAAGTCATCTTAACTTTGCATCTATCCACCCACTTACAAGGACATTCAATTATGGCTTTTCCTCACACACAGAGAAAACTACCCAGTTGACGAAGATGACCGCGCCAATATTACGCAATGAATAGAAATACATGTATTGAGTAAGTGGGAAGCTTAAGTGTTCAGGATTCATGGATTGATGTGGCAAACCAAGAAGAGTTGCAATGCGAGCCTTTAAATCAAAAATTATGAAATTTGTCTACAACAATCAATAGAATCAGCAGAAAAAATAGCGGGCACTTTGTTTAAATGTATGTTATTACTTATTAGTACTGATTATTTTGATAAAATTTGTCCCCTAAAATCCATAATTAATTGTAAAATACTGAAATAAAATATTGTTCATGAGTCATGACTTGTTCTTATTACGATATACGGTCCGTACCATTCGTCTACACTAGGGGTGTGCAACCTTTAACACAAGAGGGCACACAAATTTTGATTAATGATCTTATGACATGCGTTATGCGATTGGCACAAGCTAGCTGGGTCATTGTAACGTCATAGGAATAGATAATAAATTGGACTTCGGTATAGACTTTGCAATGCAAAGAGATTGAGATTGATCGCATGCACCAAATTAAACTAAATTAAAAATTCGTTTCGCGGGCCGCACTGTATTGAATTACAATACTAAATTGAGACAGGTTACATGTACCAATATTTCTGATTCTATTCTGAATCAAATCCGTAAAACAAGAATTTTATATATAGAATGAAAGCAAATATATATATCCAATGCATGCATGCGTACCCCTGGCTATAATGCGATACTTAGCAACAGACCAGAGGCCCTAATTCACATTCACAAAAAACTCTTATAGTCATCCGTCATCTATTTGTTGAATTTCAAGAGCAGGTAAAGCAAAAAAATACAGAATACCTAAATTAAACTTCTGAAAAGGTTACAATCATACAATGTGACCAGAATAATATTGGCACTTTAGCGCCCTCATAATTGTAAAAACAATTTTCTCTCACCTTTTGGTTCAGGAGCGGGCGCAAGTCCGAGTCGAACTTTTTCCTGTTCATCTTTCATGGCCTCCCTCCTGTTCAATCTTCTCAATTTCTTTCGTTCTTTCTTGGTTAAGAAAAGACCCATCGTGACCTCTTTCTTTTCACCTGAAATTTTATTAATTTGTTAAAAGAATAGGCTTTACATATTTGTCTCGGGGGAGAGGAAAGCCGACGCTGCAGAAGGATGTGTACCAATATGGAGGTAACTAATTTTGTTTGCCTATTTTTTGTAAAGCTGTATTAAAGGACTGAAACTTATGGGCAGGGGGTGTATTCACTTGGCTAACACAAACACATAAAAAGTTACATTTTATGAACAATATTTACACTTCCTGTCAAAACTTAATCACAATCTCACCAAATTTCTTGAGCTATTTTTTAGCTTAACTTCAAAATTTGGTTTCAGTTTGGTTGTGGCAGCATCAGGCGGGCCAAATTGAACTACCCAACGGCCTGATTTGGTCCGAGGGACGTAGTTTGCCCATGTCTGCAATAGCCTGTTTTACATTCATGGAGAGTGTTTTAACCAAGTTGGTAATATATTTCATGTGAGTAAATTTTAGCCATCACAGGTAAGACATTTTGAGTATAAGAAAGAACTATTTGCAAACAGGAGAACATATTTGGTAGGACTTTATCAAAAGCAGCAGTCCTGATTTTGCCACAATCCACAAAGCAAAAATAAATGCCTAAAATAAACCAAAAATGCAAATAAAATTTTCAACAGGAAACAGAAACTTGCCATTTTTACATGATGACACTCAAACCTAAAGAAGACTGTATTAGTCACCACCCTGCATCTAGTACGACATGTATCAAGCGAAATGAGGATATTTCCCTACAAACCTGGTGGATCCATCTGCGTAGGATGTTCAATCAAATTTGTTATCCCATGATATTTTTCTTCTGATGTGTCAATGGAACTGTAAATAAAACGAACAGTTTTATTGTAATGATATAAACACTATACGATAAACGAATAGTTAAACGCTACAGTTAAAAATCATTCAGCATTTTAGAAGGGATATGAATGAACTATATTATAGAAGTAGACGCTAAGAATGTGAAATACTGTAAAAAAAATCTGCATGTCCAAGGAAAGAATTTATTCCATCAGAAATAATATCTGCATACACTTAATCACTGCCATTTCCATCAGATTGAAGTTGTGGATTCTTGAAGCATGCTTGCATAGAAATGAACTTTTTTTTTTTTATGAGGATGTGGTTGAGCGTTTCAAACTGTTCAAAAATTACACACCGCCGGGGGAGTGATAACTCAAAGGTGCAATTTCACTTCTTCCTTATATATAAATACAAAGCATTTTGGCAGTAGACTCCTCTAAATCTTTTTGTTGAGTTGTTATGATTAATATTCAGTTAACCCTATTTCAATCCAACCACTAAGCTAGGAATTAACTTTACTTTAGTTGTAAGCTGCATGAGAGGCCTTTAATGTAAAAGGATGGGATTTTTCATATTTTTTAAAAAGAGAAAAAAAGCCAATAACGATAAGATGGCTTAGTCATATAGAAACAAAAGGCTGTCATCCGATTATTAGACCATGATGGGTTTAGAAATATGGAATCGATGAAGAAGGACTAATGTAACCGACTAGTGGTTATGTGAACCACCCTACAGTGAAGAGTCCAGCAATTCTTTCGCACATATTTATTCCCTACATAAAAGAAATCCAGATGCACCAGAGAAGATTCAACAACTTAAGTGGCAAAATTTCATGACTTCCTAAAAATATGAAAAAAACTCACTTTTCTTGCGGGATGAGATACTCGTCCCACCACTCGAGGTCAGGTATTTGTCCAGATTCAACTACAGCTTTTGGTGCGATAAGAGCAAGTTTTGAAGCTTGCTGGATGCCTGTCTTCTTAGCTGCTTGTGCAATCTCATTTTGTAATTTTTCCAGTTGAGTCTGAAGATTGAAAACCATTATGTTAAACACGAATGCAAGTTGAACTTATAGGGTTTCAAAACCCATGCAACTAGACCAAAGGTGTAATTAATTTAATAGCAACAGGATAGCAAATAGCAAAAGAGAGATAAGGCAGTCAGTCTAGAATTTCGAATATAAGTTACCCAAAAATCTGTAAACCGTAATAGAAAATAGGTATAAATTAGCTGTTGGAACTGGAAGCTATATAACCAGTTCAGAATTTTTATTTTGGATGAGCATGTTAGACCAATATGTCAAATATGCCCTTGACTATGGTCAGGGTTGTCCAAAACGAATCGAATATTCGAAATTATTCGAATATCAAGGTATTCGAATACCTTTTCGGCTCATTTCCGAATAATTACGAATAGTAGTCACTTTTCCCCGTAAACACGGTGTTTCGTTTTACCGGAATCTTCAAACGACTTTTTACGCTTTCTCACGTATTGTAATGACGATGAAATAGAGTCGGCATTTTGATTGTTTATATTCAGCGCGAATGTACGTCGCATAGTGTTGCGACACATTTGCACGTTTGCGTTGGTGGACATTGCCGACATTCGTCTTTTAATTCACAAAATCATTTCCATTAGTCGAAAAATCGACAATCACCGTATTTCCCGGCTAATAAGTCGCTTTTCTAGACCCAATTTTGGCTTGACTTTTTGGGGGGAGGGGCGCCTTATTGAGAAAGCATGTTTATTTCATTTCTATGTGGCCTGCTTATTTTTCGCATTACACTGCTTATTTTTCGCATTAGTCTTCTCAAGCATAATTTGTGTTAAACCTTATATTTGGTTCTTATGGGTCTGCCAATCATGATATTTAATCGTAGGCCGGTTATCGTTACTTAAAAGAGAAAACACGGCCACCGAGATAAAGTAAGTGATTTATGACCCTTTGGTTTTGCCGATTCAGCAGAAAACGACAGGCACATGAAACACAGCTGTGAAATAACCCGTGGACGTGCCGTGTGGTACTTATCACATTCCAAAATTATTTCAACATTCGGGTTGATAGGTTGTCCAAAATGATTGCCGCTTTATAATTTAAATTTACCGCTTCGTTGTTGAGAATAGTTAATTCCGTGAGTATGGTTCTACCAAACAAACATGATCTGGTTCTGTTCTGACCCTATAAAATTATAGATTGTTCAAAATGATTGTGATTTTTAACTTAAAATTACCGCTTTATTGTTAAAAATAGTTAATTCTGTGAGTATGATTCTACTAAACAAACGTGATCTGGTTCTAAACATTATTATTAGCGCATATTAGCATAACTGAACAACAGGGAATAATTTTTCTACCCGTCTTCTTGGAGGCCTATATGGAAAACCCCCTTTTTTGAGTGCTAAAAATATACATTGTCCTATTTGCCATGTAGACTTATTAGCCGGGAAATACGATATTTATAGTCGTAATTGTTACGATATCCAATAAATTGTCACAAGTTGGGAAACAAGTTGATTTATTAGAAAAATACTTTCACCCGCTTTCTGGAAAATAATTTTGATAATGATGGTCAAAAGTATCGATAATGAAAGTATTAATACCAAATACCACGGGTATTTGTGGGCATGAAATGTGTGGTAAACTGCCCAATTATAATTAATTTCGGATTCGTATTTACAAAATATTAAAACTATTATAACTCAAAAATACAACGGCGATTTGTGGACTTGAATGTGTAATAAAGTACAAATTATTTTTCCGACTTGTGACAATTTTTTCGAGTACGAAAATAAGAATCAAAAATTAATTATATTCGGGCACAATATCACGGCATTCTGTGGACATAAATTGTGAGGCAAACTCGCGATTGATATTAATTTTTTATTCCTATTTTCGTATTTACAAAAACAACGGCGATCTGCGGACTTAAGATGTGTGGTAAAGTTCCCGAATATATTTACTTTTTGATTCGTATTTTTGTACTCACAAAAAAATTGTCACAAGTCTGAAAAAGAACTCCTACTTTATCCCGCTTTTTGACAAATAATTTGGATAATGGTTGGTATTTAAAAGTATGGGCGTTTTACTAGGATGATTTTGTGTTGCGCAAGCATTCAAATCCACCACCGATACCACTATTTAAAATGCCTTGTCGTATTATTTTAATTCTGTTATTTAACACAACTCATGTTATATAAAATATATATCGCAATAATCTGCAAACATGAAATGCCTGGTAATATAGCCAGGTTGTAGATGGAAGTTATTCCATTGTTTATTACTTTATTGTATGAAAATTCCTTCATACACTTAGATTCTATTACTGGATTTTATTTTCGAAGTATTCGAAATTTCATATTCGAAAATAATAATTTCGAATGTATTCGAAATAGTGAACTATTCGGTATTGGCCATCCCTGACTATGGTGCATTGACTCTCATATCAAATCATATGGGGTACTTGTTCACAAGTGATCCTGTCATAGGGTGGTTCGCATAACTGCTGGTTATCTTCAATAAATAATTGGTCAGATATTCTCATAGTCATACCTAAGATGAAATGAACTAGAGGCCAAAGTTTTCTATATGATGGAGTCTCACTCCTCAAGATAAGGATGAAATATCTTATCCAAATATAAAGTAATACACAAGCATCCGAATATCATTAAATGAACGAACATTTAATGAAAAATAATCAAGTACCTTTGTCCTTATCTTTTGGGCAATTTGTACAAATCTTCCTTTATCATAGAATTTAAATTGTCGTTTCTGTCTTGTCGGACCTTCCTGTGGAACTCTGGGATCATAAAACGTTTTAACTTCTGATGAAGATTCTTCTTCCGGCTTCTCCAGCATTTTTTGTCGAAATTCTTCACGCTTTTTGGCTCTGATGTTTGCCTGAAGTAGGAAAATTGAATATTTCATGAATGAAAGAAAAAATTGGGGAGGCATAAGATATGAACATGTGTATGTGTACCAATATGGAGGTGACTAATTTTGTTCGCCTATTTTACATCAAATTGCGTAAAGGGACTGAAACCCATGGGCAGAGGGATATTCAATTATCTAACACAGACATTCCCCAAAGTCGTAATAGAACTAAAATGGAAACTAAAAGGAAAATGGGAATAAAATTATGATTCAGAGAACAAACTTTGGTGAGCGTTTCATGGAATTTATGCTTAATTAAAATGAAATTTAATGAAGTCTTCCTGGAGTCTTGTTAAGAGAATTTCAGCTTTCACCTTCAAAGTTGGAACTCTTTGTGGAATGTTGAGCAACTGCCCTGTTGCATCAACTGTTCTTCCTTGGTCATCTAATATAAGTGGCTTTGGTGCACTTTCCTCCGCGCTGTTGAACATAAGAAAATTGGTATGAGATAAGATTTGACATTATAACAAGGAAAAGAAAACCAACAAGAGAGGGCTTAACCATAAGGTGAACCAAAGGCTCTCATCTAAGCTGTTTGGAAAAGAAGTTTAAAAATAAAAATGCCAATGTTCGAACACTCAATTTGCTGAACAGAACTTGAAATAAGACGCCGGGAGAGGACTAAATGATATGACAAACCTTGGCCTTTTGTCAGATTACCCGTCAAATCACCAATAAAATTAAAGTGTTGATATACTTAATTTTAGAGATTTTGTTTCACAAAACAACATTAACTTGAAAAAAATATATACAAAATTGAATACCTAGAAAATCTACAGTTAGGATGATACTATCATATGTGGGTCAGTGGCAAGGTGGTAAAGGTCGAGGCTCAAAACCCATCGGGTTTCGCTGTATTCAAGCAGTCATGATACAGGAGGAGTGGAGTAAAAAAACAATAAAAATACAAGGTAATTTGAGTTGGCAACATTTTAGAGAAAATTGATGTTTTTCACAAGGGTAAGGGGCATCCAAAAAAATGACACTTGGAAACCGCAAGCTTTCTCGCAGCTAAGGTTTGTAATAAATTTCAGGGGAATAAAAATTTCATCATACCCTGCTTTGCCTGTGATTTTAGCAATCAGTGATGTCATTGCTTCGGGGGTCGAAGGTGGTGCACCTAAGTTTAAACAGAAAATCAGTAAATAATTGACATAGATTCAGGGTAATGTTACATACTGAGTCCCCTTCTGTTGACAAAAGTTGGACCAAATGTTCCACTGAAATAGAGGAAAATAAAACCACGAGTAACCGGAGATATATCTGTACCACTAGTAATATTAACCTGTTTGTTGGTCAAACCCTTGCAACACTTACTTAAGAGTCCAGGCCTAGCCGCTAATTTTTCTTGTATTTTTCTTTGCAATTCTGCAGCTTTTTCAGCTTTTGTCATTGAACTTTCTATCAGAGCCTGCTGTTCACTGCCATTGGAAATCTGCAAAATTGTCACAAAAAATTATAATAATATAGTGCCGTGATCCGATATTCTGGGGTCAATGTTTCAATAGTTTTATAAAAAATTTGATATATTTGGTGAAGGAATGACTTCACCTAAAATTATTGTATCAGCATGATGCATCGATAAGACAATAATATCCTTCTATTCCTCGGTAATGAAAACCGAGAAAAGGTGATGTTGTATAGTCTAGCACTGACATGGACAAACTACGTCCAGTGGGTTATTCAGTTAGGAAATTCAATGTGCTTGTATGATGATGCCACAATCGAACTAAAACTAAATTTTGATGTTTTAGCTGTCAAATAGCTCGAAAAAATTTATTGCGATTAAATTTAGTTTTGGCATGAGGCTTATTTTTCAAATTTGCTTTTGTAACACTGTAAATTTATTCTTAAAATGTAACTTTCAACGTCATAATTACATGGCCCGCCAGTCTAGGTGGGCAAAATTGTTGGCCCCTGGTTCAAAAACCTTGCCCACCCCTGGTATAGCAATTCTCACACACATAAAACATGTTAGTTTTCAACCATATTTCAGGCTATGCTTTTCCTCCTTGCTTTCTCTGAACCAAGTTGACTTACTTTAAAAATTGTGTTAGGTGTCATCATGGTTTGTGGCAGAGAAGCAAAAATAAAAGATTGATCTTCAGAATTTGAAGCAAATTGAACCAATTAACATGACGACAAATAGGTCGCTAACCAACGAGGCAACATTTTCATTAAATCCCCAATATATACGTGATCCGATACCTTAGCTGCTTCAGCTTGAGCTCTGATATCAGCTGGATCCATCATTTTCAATTGTTCCTTCCTTTGTTCAATTTGTTTTCTGGCGTGTTCCATCATGTTTTTGATCTGGATGTTGGAAAGAGGATAATGATAGTTAGCAGTAACGCAAAAAAATTATACACTGATAGTTAGGCATACCTAGCACAGGTATGTAGAAAATGAAAACAGTATTCAAATATATCTAAAGATAGTTATATTCGATATACAGTATTTTACGGAAAGTAGCGTTTCAAATACTTTTTTCTGAAAATTGATTGTGCGGCTTCTGAGCCAACGCGACGCGCCTAATGTAATAGACCAGGTAATGTGCCTGCGCCCAAACCAGTCGCATTTGCGCCTTATGTATGAATAAAAACCCAATCTAAGCAATTTCTTGACGGTGCGCATCATGACCTAGTGTGCTGCGTAAAATACCTTAGTTAATTCATGAATTTAGGGACTTTAAGTGTTTTATATATATCCAATGACTTTGAATTTGGAATAGCATATGAGTAATTCAGAAAAACATCAATTTGAGTGGTCTCCCATATTACCGTATATAGACTCCATATATTAAATGAAGGCTTTTCTGGTCACACAGTGCAACTTTGATATTACATGTATTTAAAATAACTATCATGAGACGATAAGGTCGAGTAGTTGAATGCAATAGATGAATATCAGAAGTTAAGCATATTAAGCCCAAGGCCCACGACATGACACACAAATATATTAGACATGCTGATTAGTAAATTCCAGTTATTCTCCAGGTATAAGCAGCTACTTATCTGGAGCTTTAAGTGAGGAAATAATTAGTTACATATACCGTAGTTTTATTCCGCTGAAGATTATTTGGCGATACCACACATATTTTTTGGACAGTGGCAACACTGCGGTTTAGTTAGAACTGTATAAAAAGCGACTAGCCCTATTCTTGTGAAAGCTAGTTGATACGTCTCAAGCTGAATGATTTTGGCTGGCGGTCGTATCCGAACAGTGGATTGCCTAACATTGATTAAACGAGTGCTGCATTCAGGGTGTTGATGAGTCATTATCATTGTGAGAGTGTACGTACTAAAAATATAACCCAAAAACTCAACCTATGCTACATAGTAACACATAAAATTGAAGAGCCTTATCAACTCTTACTGGTAAAATTGATGGGGTTCAATGGAAGCTTGCAGAATAACATAGGGTTTCGGCAGGTTCGTATAGGTTAATTGAAAGATAGTAAGTGAATGGAAACGACAAAATCTCGTCTTCACCTGTTGAGTGGTGAGCATTCCAGGACTCTCAGCGATGGGTTCAGCAGGAAGAGCAACAGGAATATCTGGTTCAACAAAACGACGAACTTTCTTAGTCACTGCTGTTTCAACTTCATCCTCCTAAAACAATATGATTAGAAAGAATAAGAATTGCTTTGTTGACAGGTGAGTTACTTGACGACAAGTGTGAAATTATTTCAAAATGGGGCAATTGCAATATAAATATTCGACTTGTTTGAGAGCCACAAAAAACTGTTCTTACACAAAAACCTACATGAAAATCAAATCTTAATCGCAAAGACAACGAATTTCTGGTAAAGCATATATTTTAAGTCTGCATTCAAATAATTCACTTCGCATTTTGAGATTTCAAATTCTAATCGTTTCCACCTAACCTGTATTTAATATATGCCAATCAATCTGACAACATGTCTAGAACCTTGTTCAGAGCCTGCTCATAAAAAATGGTTCCGAAGAAAAAACAAAGAAAAACTGACCTTTCTTTTTCTGCTTTTCTTTTTCGTTTTAGAAAGTTCAACTGTTGTATACAACTCCTCAACAAACTTTTTTGCTGATTTATCCATCAGAGGTTGCAGATGTTCTAAATGAAATGTTGTGAATAAATACCGTAAGAAGTTCAATAAGAAGCTATATTTTAAAACTTAAAAAAATCACATACTTCTAACGTGAAGTCTCAAAAACGCAATAACAAATGTCAGCTATGTAACTCTAATATAAAATCCTAGCCATTCCTTACTGTCAATGAGAGATGCGCTTCATTGCATGACATTAGGTGATATGTTTCTTTTCAACACTTTTAATTTCAAATTATAGATTTACGAGATGATTCACATCAAATAGGTAAGATTTGTTCTCAATGCCAACATGACTGTTCTGTCACTGGAGATCTCAATAAGCAAAAATGATAGCACTAGATGTATCTCTATCCAATAATGATCTACCGGATAAATAAATAATTTCAATCTTCAATTTCACAATATTCGCTATTGAACCATAAGTATAACCATGAACCATGTTTACAAGTATACCATACAGAGATGTCAGAATCACAATATTTCTGATATTGTAGTGTTGCATCAACCATTAAATTGCACTGCAAATATCTCTCTAAAATTCCCTTGGGAAAAAAGTATTCATTAATCTCATAATATGCCTAGAACTTTGAGCATAGTAAGGTTTAGTTACATGAGCCTAATTGAATATGGTGCATTAAATAATTCGTCATCTGGATGGAAGAATATTTCATAACTTAGAAGTGTTCTCGTAATCTCAACTCAAGGCAAGATCAATGAAACCCAATTAAATTGATACGAGTTGTGAACAACCAGTGAAATCTTATTCATAGAACAGTGGGAACACTAAATATAAATCTGCAAAGACCCAGAACTTTACAGGCATAAATCAATACGATCCAGAGACAGATTACAAGCCAAAAGTCTGAATAAAATGATGTTTGAGAACGACATAGAGTCCTTGTAGAAGTAAGATGAATACAACTAGAAGCCGAGTCGAAAAACCAATCGATAAGACACCAACATTCTTATGATAACGATCAGCATGAGTCGAGTTCATATTTATTCTGCCAATGAAAATCTTAGAGTAATAGATATTCAGGTGGTTAAGCCCCGAGAACTCTGATAAATAAAAATTGATACAAATATAACAGAATAAAGAAAGAGGAAAATAGAAACAACAACTTCCAGAAATTGTTCATAAGATGCAACAAAGATTTTTGCATTTCAAATGGAGGGCTTTAGAAATCCTGTTTACGATTTATCATTGTGGTAAAGCAACAATAAATACAAACCAATTATTCTTCCTTTGTCCATATCCTTCTGTAGACATTGGATTGCTGCCACGACAACAGAATTGTCGGAGAAACCAAGTACTTTTTCAACAATTCCACTGATTTGAGGCTTCAATTCATCAGCTTCTTTTCTTGATAACGCCATTTTCATAGTTGATTTAGAACTGAAAAACAAAATCCTGGAACAGTGATAACTTTTGCTTTTAAAATGTAAACTACTGAACTAGCCTATCTACAGATCTAGGCTACCTGATCTAGATTCAGAAAATTGTTAAAGTTATCCTAGGCTACTGTCTGAAAATATGCTATGTATTTCAATTGGAGGTAGATTCGAAAGGGTGAATAACGTACACGATGTTACAGCCATTTGATTTGTTCAAGGACAGAAAGATAGGATTTCTGTTTTACAAATTCTATGAAACATGAGGTGATGGTAGAAACAGGCAATCCGTTTTGTAATAAAACCCTATCAAATATAAAGTTAAGTATTATAAATAAGTGGAATCTCAGTAAATATTCATGACACCAAAATGTCGAAAGCCTAATAATCTAAAAATCTACATCAATAGCCTGCTAATATGAATTACTGAATTATAAAACCGCGCTCGGTAAGAGTGCATTACCGATGTCAGATTTATCCATGAAGATAAGGAGTCTCGGAAATAATTTTGTAATTTTTGTTCCTAATATAAGTTTAATAATAAAAGTATATTGCATATATTTATGGCGATATATTTACAAGTAAATAGTGAATTTGAATAATGACAGATTCAATAATAAAATATTCATATGTCTCAGCTTGATGCACTACAATCTGGCATAATGCATTTTGTATTCAAAAAACGTCGGGCATACGTTTTACCGATGGTGGTCGGAGTCAAAAGACAACTAAACATAAACCATTATATTACATTGATATGTATGTATACAATTTATAAAGAAATTTCTTCCATGACGCATTTCAATTTTACTATCCTAATGCGTAGAACTAACTTTTTACTCACTCGAGTGCGTTGCATCGACCTATGTGTTATTTTGCTGTGTAAATTTCTCATGGCAGTACTCATATTGAAGAGTAAATAGATGAGTTGAATTGCGTTAGTATAGAATAAATTGAATAGGGATTATAAGGCCACCAGTGAGGATAGAACTCACGACCTCTGGTTTACAAGACCAGTGCTCTAACCACTGAGCTATGGCGGCCAACGCACAAGCGTACTATGCGACAAAAATACGAGGCCGCATCCTGATCGAAAATCAAAGAAAAGCATTTTAAAAATACATCAATGGCTGGATAATACTGGTGTAAGACGGGAAGTCATTATCTATCGTATCTATCTATCGCTGTACAGTAATTTTGCTTTTTATCGTTTTGGCGACACGCATGCTATGGTTATTACAGCGATAATACGGCACGGTAATTGGTTGATTTAAGTTTAAACGTATTGCTTGGTTTGTTTCATTTGTTGATATTATCATGTAAATGTATTTACGATCAAAGCTTCGCTATTAAAGATCGCTATTATCAAGATCACAATCTCAATTACATGTCTGGTATGGAATTAGATAGCCAATTATTTCTTTCAAATGCATGGACTTGTTGATAGAGGGAGTCGTAACCGAGTAGTGGTCACAGGAACCACCCAACGGCGGCAAGGAGTCCAGCAATCCTCTCGCACATAATTATCACCAACGGGTTTAGAATCAGCAAACCCACGCAGGGCAGTCAGAGGCGCGATGGTTAATATGGTGGCCGGCATAATCATCAAAATAATGTGAAGATCGTAAAAATGTGAAAGATAGTGCATTATTTGAATAAAACGCAAGTAGGAATCCACCAATGAGGCGTTAGCTCATGTCGCTGGATTTACAAAATGGTTGCTCTGAACACTGAGCAAATTGTGTTCATTTGGAGTTTATCCCTTAAGGAGAAACTACAACACAAGAGTTGAAGACAGAGGCACAAGTGAGGATAGAACTGTGGCTTACAAGAGTGCTGTAGCTAATGACAAACGCCGGCGCCCAGACGCCCACGCTTGCAACAGGATTAAACCCCAGATTTTCACTTTACTCGTCATTATGGATGCCAAGTATGAGTACTTACAAGTATTCGATTCTTATCCGATTCCTAAATTTTCGATTCCGATTCTCGATTCCGAATCTCGATTCCTCGACATATAACCGAAAAAATATACCCACCCAAGCAACACCATACGAAATCAAGCAAGACAGCGATGTTCAAATTCTGGACGGACAAGAAGGCCGAAACTAAGTAGTATGGGTATCCAATCTGCCACATGAGACAAAACCGCACAAAAAAAAAACGAATCCCTCAGAACCCACAGAGATTTTTAAAATAAATAAAACGTTAAAGCCTACTAGCGATATTTATAATATATATATTATATATAGTGAAGTTTGCGGTATCGCAGCAACTCAACATAGCAGTGAAGCAGTTTATACATATATATATATGTGTGAAGAAATTGCCACAAAACGTTACACATTGTTTGCAATCCAAGTTTCAAACTCGAGGATCGATTCCGGTGCATCGGAATCGATTCTAGTCGATTCCGCGAAGAATCGATTCTGTAATCGAATCCGGACTCGATTCCGCCATCCCTACTCGTCATAAGACTAATATGAATAAGCCGATATGAACAGAGCCGATACTAGCTCCTTACCTACTACATAAAATGATCACGACGTAACTTGGAGTCTGTCACGGCTTCCTCCGTCAACCATGACTGTATAACAATGAGCTAGCCATTCTCAACCAAACTATAAGAGAACAATATATCGTGGTGCTTTTATCAAGCCGTTTTTTTTGGTTCCCCCTCTCTTGGGAGATTACGAAGCTCTTCTTGGTGGCTCGATGGCTTGGCGGCTAAAGCGCATTAATTTTAGATGTGTTGCAATAGCAGATTACACATATAAGGTTTGCCCCTCACGCAGGGTGTAATAAAATGGGTAGGCGATTTCGAATTGGAAAGATTCTGTACGATCCAAATATTAGCAGCACGTTAGACCTCATGATTGCTTGTACAAGGCCCTGTCCAGAGCGAAAGCCGTTTTCACATAAGCGTCGTATTAACAAAAAAGCGATGCTCAAATATATAAACACCGAGTTCAAAACGTACCGGATTCAGATATTTTGTTTTAGTCTTACATGGAATATTGTATCGACATAAGTAATAAAAAAATGGTAACAAAAAGTTCAATTGAAATAAAGAGACATACAATATTTTCGCAATTGACGCGTGGCTGGGAAAGACTACCAGACTCATCGTGTCAGCGCAGCGTGTTTGCTGAGTTCACAAAACAATTTTGCAAAAATAAATGAAATTGAGAGAGTCAGGAGATTACCGCAAACTCCACGACTATCGCAAACGTAACCTTCGCAAGGTGTGCAATTTTTGATATCGTAATCGTACACAAAAAAAACAAATCTAACAGGGTCCATAGAAATTGTTGAAATAAATAAAAGTAATAGCCTTCTGACGAAAAATACAATTTTAAAACACTGAAAATTCCAAAGCAGTATAGGTAATGTGAAAATGTAGAAACGGAAATCGTATTCTGATCTGTTTTAGCCATCTATCAGCCAAACCGGCTGTTTCGCTGCCAAATTTTTATATTAAAATTTTTAATCTTGCATGATAATTATGAAGAAATATATCAATCGACATGTGTGAAATAGAAAATACGACGTTATATTGGCACAAAATCATGCGCCATGACTCGATGTATCAGTTTCATACGATAAGTAGGCTCAAACATTTATTTATTTCAACACCAACAGTAGCCAAATCCTATTGGTTTTCTAATTGAACACCGAGAATACTATGGCGCCAGTGCTTAATGCATCTGACTCAATTAAAGCATTTGGATCCCAAACATATACTTCTTAATATATATTTATGTGTGTGTGTGATATTTCCCTTTTTGAACCGAAATAATGTGCACTATTAATTATGCTCAAAGACTATTGTTTTAAACAGTCTGCCCTGCACACTTGAGGTAATAATTACATAATATCGGTATCGTAATATCGGCCGTTTTCGAATATCGGCGTCGGCTTTTTATTTGGTATCGGATCGATATCGGCGACAAGAGTGGTATCGGTACATCTCTAATGCAAACTTGTCGTCCACAGTATTAATCTTGCTGTTTCGATATGACAGATGAGGTGGAAACTCGACCCCGAAAAGCCATTTTCATGTACTACTCTTTGGTCGTTGAGATTACATTCTCGAAGGAAAAGATCAATATATATTTGAATACTGGAAATCATAGGATGTTGGCTGACATATTTGAAGGATCTATAATAATTTAAGTTGAACTAAATACTTCATCACGATAGTTCAAAAGAAATATTACAACATGGTTTAATCTGACAATAACATCGATCTGAAAGAAGACTGACCCCATGTACGTGTCCTTGTTATTTGGCACCAAGTGAACCATTTTAGTGGCAATTGTATTTTTATTTCCCCTCTCAGTTGGAAGTTTGGCGTATGTAAATACAGTGACGAAATTCGGCACTACATATTTGTACAGCCAAGTGTATGTGCACCAAGATGGTGGACACCGGAAAGTAGTATGTGTACCAGATTAGGGTTAGGCACAAATTTCAGGTACGAATAATACGGGAGTCACTTGGCTAGTCCCCGAACTCATGATAGATTTAAAATAAGGAAATTTAGAATAAAATTATGGCCTAACTTTAACCTGGTACACACACTACGTTCCGGGGACCGCCATCTTGGTGCGCATACTTCTGGAGCACCCATATTTGTACGGTCAGGTGTAGCATTTCAAATAAATTCTCCGAAAGAATTTACCACTTAACAATCAAACACAAGATTAAGGTTGAATCGCTAGCTTGAGAAATATATATATCCAATATAGATGTATATAAATGGTTTTGGCAGACATTCAGCCAGATATATCGAATGTCTAATAATTTAATATATATATACCGTATGTAAATTGAATAATTTTGGCAGATAATTGGACAGATATATCAAATTTCTAATAATTTAATATATATGTAAATTATAGTTTTGGCCGACATTCAAACAAACATATCAAAATAATAAATTGAAGATTCCATCACGTCTCATTATAAATGGGCCAGCAAAATCGAAAGATTTATTCCAATAACGAGGTCGAGTGAACGTGCCTGTATAGATGATATTTCACACTAAATAAACCTAAAGATGTAGTGTTTTTATTTCTTCCGGTGAAAACATGTGTAGTTAAACACAGTAAAAAGAATCAACTGCAAGTAGATGTTATAAAAAAACTCGACGCAAACAAATAGGATTGTTAGGCCTTGCGGTTCTTTGAATTGTTGTCGCAGAAATTGATTTCTTTTTGATTATATTGGGAAAATTACTTTTAAATATTTAAGCGATTGAACAGGAAAATCTCTTAGAAAGCTATTTTTTCCATTTTTTTTTTTAATAAATTATCTGTAGAATCACGACCCATTTGAATTTTGCTGATATTGAGTAACTACGCTAGTATGTGGTCATTCTACATCTGTGTATATACGTTTAAGCATACGTTCTCAGTTCTGAATTTAGATGTAGGATTGTAGGTGATTAATACAAGATATGCGCCGCGTAACGCAAATATTCAATTTCTATTACGGTGGTTTACAGCCGGGGTTCCGTGGCACCCTAGAATTTCACCAGTGCAATTCAGAGGTTCCATAAGTTCCCATCAAAATCCGCGAGTTCACAGTCTAAATACCATTGTTTTTGCGAGCATTAAGGATGATTTTGTATATATTTATAGTCTATAAGTATACGCGATTAGGCAAGAAACTGAACTATTAGACAGAGATTTCTCGAGCCTATGGAATGTTTCATTGGGATTAAGCTTCACCAAAAAGGTTGTAAACCACTCCGGCTTAAAAAATTTGAACCACCTCTCTAGAATGTTATGTTGCACAATATAATTTCTGTATTTCTACACCAATACGTCTCTTGGCCAAAGCAGACCAATTATATTATTTATATTTGATATTTCAGAGGTAAAAACACTGCGACGAACATGGCAATATTTCGTTTGGGATTTTTATTCAGTTTGGTAATAGCACAATGCGTTGGAATTAACAAACACATGGTTTGCAAAGAAATCGACTCTTTCGATGCTGAAAATGACAGTCTTATTAGTGACAGAGAGCGAGGCATACAGGGGCCACCTGGGAAAAAGGGGGTCAAAGGTGAAGTGGGACCTCCGGGCGTACCTGGAATAGTGGATTATGGTAAAATAAAGAAAACAATACGCCGTGAAATTGCTCCTGGTAAGTGTGCTGAGCTGGAAATCTTGATGCGGCGTTATAAAGTTCTGGCCCATGATTTTGTTGCTGCAATTGAAAATTTCTGACGACATTATACGGTGTTATATTTTGTATTTAAAAACATGGAATTTTTTTTATGACGTCAAGCATGGTTTCCGGAAAATTTGTTATTCTATCATAATAAAGATCCTGAATATTTTAAAATTAATTTTGACGTCACTAATTTCGTTTGTAAATCGCGAAATTTCCTTTATAGACAAGATACATACGATAATCACGTGTATTATCTAATAGATCGAATTCAAAAATAATTTAGGAAGCTCAAAGCTGTAATAACAACATGACACAGGAAAACATGACGTCATAGTGTTAAATTTTTCCCGATTGATTATGTCCATATTACAGGCAAATATGATATATATAACATATGCCCATATTTGCGGTTGGAATTTATTAATCTTCAGGTTTAACGTCGATTCAACGCGTACATGCATAACTACCATTTGGACTGTATTGAAAATGTCTCAACTTGTTTTGCAGATTTCAAGATAATGAAAGACAGGATGGATGACATGGAAAAGAAAATAGCAAACTTGGCATCTCAAAACGAAGTGATGATGGAAAGGACTGCCGAAGGTATGCAAAATGTCTCAACGTTTAATATTCTAATCCTGTGGTTCTCAAACTTTTTAAACCGCGCCTCCTTCTGGAATTTGTCAAGTCTCGCGCCCACCTCAAAAATAACCTGCTAAAAATAAGCTACAAATAACAGAGAATAAGGCCAAAGTATGTTTTGTTCAGAAAGCACGTTGAAAATACGTGGTAGAATGGCAATCTCTAAAGTTAAACAACAAAGAAATGAAAATATCCAAAATACGACGGGCAAGATAAAATCGAACAAATGTTTTTTTTTAATTAGCTTCACGCCACCTCAAAAAATTGTCTTCGCCCACTTGTGGGGCGCGCATATATTAATTTACCTGCATTTGTCTGAAAGTTTATTTTGTTCGAATAAAAAACAACAGACTTTGTATAATAGGAACTTGGAAGCTTACAAAAATTCAGGGCAAACCAGTTTCTTTATAAGATGTCGCATCAAATAGTAGACAAGTATACGTAGCACACCATCAGGGCGAAAATACAGGATGTCCCGAAAAATGAGACCTACAAAATTGATAATGAATATGTTGAACCTAACTCTTTAGTTTTTATTTTTTAGATTTGATAACAATTATTATTTTTAAACTCCATGGCTTTGAAATTAGAAGAAACAAGTTTTTGCGTTGAAATTTACCGTGTTTCTCGGAAATAAGACCTAACATGAATTTTAAAAATTATTTCAAAATAAGCCCTTTCCATAAAATGAGACTTATCGCAAATTTTTATTCGACCTAGTCGATAGCAAGAAATCTTTCCTACTCGTTTTAAATGAATAATAATCTATGCTTAGCAGATATTTAAAATAAACGTGTCATTTATATGTTAATGGATATCGGTTTTCATATTTTGTATATTTGAAAATCTCGTAATTCTCTACTTTGTAATTTTGTTTTTGATAAATAAAAATAAAAGACATCCCCGCAAATTAGCCCTAGTGGTATTTTTCGAAGAAAAATTGAAACAAGTCGTCTTATTTTCGAGGAAACGCGGCATACAGAGACTAAATCCTGTAATACCGTTCAAACATTCTGTCGCAGGAAGTTTAATTCCAACACTTATCCTGAAAAATCCCAGATATTCCTGCGACATCGTGATTATTTTCTTCGACTTTTATTATCTTGCCTTGTTTAAAACAGGGTTGCTGGATTTCTCGCAGTCACATCGTGATTCATATAACCGTAATAGATTTCGACTTGGACAAACAACCAACATCTCAAACTAGATAGCGATGGAAAAACGCCGACTCATCGATCTTGCGGTTTCGATTCCTCCGCTCTGACTCAATAGCGACATCGCGTGTCTCATCACTAATTAATTGATACTTCGCTAAATATCCGACATAATTTATCCAAAATCAATAGGCTTCTGGTCCGAGATATGATGCATGCACATACAAAATTTGGAGCAGATTCAACTCGCTTTCGCAAGATATCGCGTAACATACGAAAGTGTCTAATAGCCAAACAGACAAAATTCTATCAACAAACTTACCGATCGAGATCGATAAGTAATGATTAACTGGTTTAGTATTATTACCACACCCGATGCGGACTTGTGACCAAATTAGGGATCGTCGCTACTTGTATAGTTTAGCCGTCTCACCTCTCACCCAGAATAATATAAAAAATTATGTTGTCATCTCTTGTAATTTACATTTTTCATAGAAAGATGCCAAAGAACGTTTTCCGGGATATTTTATAATTCTACATGTTTTTGGACCGACGTTTCCCGAACCCAGGACATAAATCTAGCAAAAGCTCAACAACGTTGTACGAGTAAAGGATCGCGATTGGCCGATATATATAGCAAAGATCATTACGATGCAATAATGACGTATCTAAGACCGCAAATTGTAGCCGGGAAAACAGTTTTGTACGTTTGGACGGGAATGAAACGAAGGGTAAGCCAACGATGTGGGATAATATACGATTCTTTAAATTTATTTTCCAGGCTAGGAGATTCGAAAGTACGACATAATCGTTACGAAATTACTACGGCAAATCTTGACCACATAAAAATTATTCCTGGACTTCACGATTGTAACATTTTTACGTCTATTTTGGTGGTGGCCCAGCGAGCTGTGTAGAGTGTAAATATTCAACATGACAATTTTATGTAAAACATTAAGTAGCTATTGCGAGAAAGCAGTTTTAGCTTCTAGTTCGTCCAGCCTTACGGGACCGATTTTCCATTTCGTTACCGCAACTAAACTCTTCCGGATAAAAGTCGAAATTACTAGGGCCGGGCATTTTCGAATACCTGATGATTTCGGAATTAATCAATCAAATTAATCAAATATTTTTTTTCAAATCGAATATTCGGAAGATATTCAAATTAAATATAAAGACATAATTGTAATATGTGAATTTGTTTTGTAATGGGTAATTTCTGATAACATAGAATCCATCACTCAGTCAGGTCGCTGAGCTGTCACACACGATAAGAAACATGTTTCATCAATAAGTCATTACGAAGAATAGAGTTAGCCTTTCTGCCAGAAGATATGGCTTCACGAAAAATAGTAGGATTCACAAAGACTTTATACGGACAAAAAAGATGTCCGAACCGGTTCGAATAGTTTACTATTCGATTCGGAATGGCTAGCCGCAATCCATAGAAAATGATCACTCAACTCGAAATTGGTAAGCGCTAGTTAAAACGAGAAGGCTAAGTGATTCAAACCTGCAAACCCCCAGCAAGGTTAAACAGTGCGTTGATATAATAAATTAACATGGTTGACATGGTAAATTAACAATTTTTTTTCTGTTACATTTAGGGCGAGGGTGCAATTCTTTCTACCGGCATCAAAACACCGTATGTGAAACCCCGATCCAACGCGTCAAAGTGGAACAAAGGTGAAGCTAAGCGAACGCTGGTTTATCTTGTTGCATCGCCGGATCCCAATGCGACCGACCAAGGATTTGGAGCTATCTGGGACACATGGAATGCCCATGGAGCGTTGTGCCAGATCAATTGACTGTTATAAATCGTTTGTTGGCAAGATCCTAGTCGTGTATTATATACTCTTATTGACTAATATTTTCAATATAACGCAATATGACCTAAACTTTGTCATCTAGTTGGAACCAAGGGTGAGCAAAATTTTTTGAGATCGGAAGAATGATACGATACCTCGAAAATGTTGGTAGCTCAGTCATTTCTCAAATTTCGAACTGCTTTCGAATGCGGATTAAAGTGTTTTTTCATAGATTCTTGCAGGAATTGACATAGTCTACCTTATGACTTAGCGTTATTTTGCGGCCGTCCATAACGGATGATAATTTAGCACATCTATAATGAAATAGTTGTTGCCACAAATGTATTACTTAGTGACACTAAAAACGTCTTGATCTTATATCAATTTATATACACTCATTTCCTACATACAACCTGTTCGTAAAACTGAGCTACAATTTTAGTGGATTAGAAATGAGGTGTTGCCCACACAATAACTTAAAACCCCCAGGTTTGTCATAACAACCTAACTAAGGTATTCTCAACCTATTTTGTATTCGGGATTTATTAAGGTATTTATCGACATATATGGTATCTCAATGCATTGCTTACAAAATTTTATTAACCCGTCAAAAAATGTTGAATATGTCGTAAAAGAATTTTAAATATTTAATCCCTTGAAAAAGGAGGACATTTTAGAGCAGGGTCGTCCAACCCGGGGCCCGCGGGCCACATGTGGCCCGCCGTAGGTTTCCGAGTGGCCCGCGCGGTATTATTCGAATCCCAATGTCTTTTACAAATCTAGGCCGTTTTTGAAACCTCTAATAAAAAAATTATTCCTTGTCATTCAAACGTGCGAGAAGTACCACCCAGCTATCGAAATCTTATTTAGGTCCCATTGTGAGCGTTATTGCTGGAGAGAGATGTTTGAATTTATTTTTATCGTGTGCCATGTATTTCAATCTGATTTTCTGTCCTTATTCTTCGAAGCTAGAAGAGGCGGTTTTTATGACCTCAATATTTGACAGCACATAGACTACTTGTACGAGCAGGTTTTTTTCTCTGATGAACCAATTCAAATCCCCTGTGAGATCACTAATTTCTGACAGGCATATGAAAAATTCGCTATGTGTTGCTACATCGTCCATCGCATATTGACAAACTCACTGGATAAAAGCGGTGTCATACTTGGCATTAAAATATCTATGTTTGGTAAAAACTTTTGACTTAACTGTATCTTTAAAACTGAAACATAAAAACCATGTCAAGTGGCCCGCGCAATCATTCGTGAACTAAATGTGGCCCTTTGGCCAAAAAGGTTGGACAACCATGTTTTAGAGCAGGGGTGGGCAACTTTTTTAGTCGGCGGGCCAGATGTGAGAAAATGAAGTCCTCGGCAGGCCGGATTATTACATGAATAGTATTCATTATCTTAATCACATATTTATTGCTAATGCAAGAAAGAAAATTATAAATCGCGCTTAAAAAACATTCTTCTGCCTAGCGAGTTTTCTGTCCAGTTCTGTTGCTCTAGTTTGCTGTTCCACTGCTGATAAATTAATGCCATAGTTACATAATGACGACTAATGTTGTACTCTTTTAATACCGCAACACTTTGACTACACAGTACTACTGCTTTGTTGCCAACTTTTGTAAAAAATACTTCGGTATCCAATCTTTGTTAAATGCTCGACACTCTGTCAACTTTACGTTTCTTGGGATATTCCATGGTTGATAAAACCTAATATAAAATCTATTTATATATAGAATCTAAATATAACTGATAACAGTAGTAGGTAATGTTTACAACGCCCTCTGATTTGTTGTTTTACAAGTGTACTAACTCAATGAACCTTTCCCCGAGCATCGACTTCTATGTTTACTTCGTGACATTGGCCAATCAGCAAGGTGCAAAAAGTGACGTAACAATTCTCCCTTTTCGCATCTGCTCAGACGCTTTTCTCCCTCAGACAGATTTTCAGGCGTGGTCGTAAACATATCCTCGTTTTTGAACTCTATTCGTCAGTTTTCAGTTGTGTTTCGGAAATTTAAATATATATAAGATAATTCAATGATCACTCTGTCTTCTTATGAGTTTTAATTTAATTGCAGTAATAAAAAATTAGTGTAGAAATAGTTGTGATAGACTGGGCTAAAAATTTTTATCGGTACTTTTGAAAAACAGATTGTTGTATGTGATGAATCATAATGATGGTTTGAAACACATACCCCATTTTAGAGGCACCAACTCGCGAAGCCACTCTTAAAATAAGCCCCGAAAATTTTGCAATGGTAAAGTATAGGAAGAATTTTTCGGGAGTCAAAGGTCGGGGAAAGGTCCATTGTTTGTTCGCCAAGGCAATTGTTTATTTCACCAGCTCGCTCTGACAGTGCGGTGAGAGTAGAGCGATCGGCAACTTTCAGGAATGATGCGTCGGACCACATTACAGAGTATTGTTGGATACCGGTACAGTCAGCGGGCCGGTCCAAATCTCGTCTCGGGCCGGACGCGGCCCGCATGTTGCCCACCCCTGTTTCAGAGCGTCCTCGGAGGACATAAAATTTTCAACGAAAAAAGAGGACAAGTCCTCCAAAAGGAGGAGGTATGGTCACCCTAAGTTATATCAGCTGCCCTGTGACATTTGTCCCTCATACATAGATATTAATTCCTGAAAAACAAGGGCCATGATATTATGTATACGTTTGGTATCTGATTATGGGACGTAACTAAATGGCCAAACCAAAAAATCGGAACCACGCGTCTTTATAGGGTTCTGTCGGAAACATGAAGGCAAATTTTTCACTGTTGTATATCACTGAAATTACAATTAAGTTTTATCAGCGAGAACGTGGAAGACATGATGGCGTCGCTAGATCACATAGTAAATATTTTACATTTTCCGACGCAAAAAAATCGAAATATCCCGCTAATAAGTTGATGAGTGCTCTAACCACCGTCGCGGCGACTGGTCTTCAAATTTTGTATGTTATAATGTGCAACTTCGTACGCTTAGATAAAATTCATTGGGCCGCACAATGGGCTAGCCATGAGACCGTTAATTTTTGGAGCAACTGTTGCAACAGCTCGTTAAATCAAGAAAAATTGTCCCGAGAAAATTGGGTCATTTTATCAGCTTCTGGAATGATTAGTGTAAAACGCAGGCTTTAAAAGTTCGACATGGTGTGAACAGATATCACAATACCAGTTCAAATAATATCCGCTTTAAACGTATGTTTTGGATCAGGGTTCTCCAACTCAAAATACGTCACGGGCGACTTTTCGAAATTTATCGACGACGCGGGCTACAAACCAACAAATTAGGTACAAAATTGATACACAAAAAATAACAAATGAAATCTGAATATATATTTGTTGAAATTATACTTAAATCTTACACAAAACGAGACATGAAACATATTAATTTACTTGTGCTGGATATTTGGCACCGTTTTGTAGCGATGAAAGACTCGATGTTAGGGCCTTATTTTGCGTTGGTTTGCTAGTATCAAGACAGCATGCAAACGCTCGTCTGTCAGTCGTGAGCGAAGGGCTGATTTGTTAACTTTAATTGTTGAATCAAAAATAATGCTGCTATTCCTCCACAGGCCTTCAACATACATCCTTTAATAAGGCTTTCTTCAACGAAAGAACGCGACTATTTGGTAATCATCTCACTTATGGGAAAGCTTGCTCTCACTGAAGCTTAACAAGTTTTGTTTGAGACTGAAAAAAAATTCTATGTTTCACCAGTGAAAATTTTAACTGCGATGCATTTTCGTGACGAATTGTTTCCGTATAGACATGGTGTTTTCCCTCTATGTAATGAGTCGTAATGTCATCGAATGTTGCATTCCTTTCGAATAGCAATAACTGCACAACATATGAGACACTGAACCTTGTTATTATAATTTAATACAAAATACAGGTCCTCCCCACTTCTCTTGAAATATTCTGTGCTCTCCCGAAAATTTACGATCCTTGGACATTGCGTGTGGGTTTACTTCTTTATAAAAAGTTTATAATAATTTAGTTTTGCGTTAACTGCATATGTGCAGAATTAATGATCAAACTTCACACTCAATGATCTGACCGAAACTTGTTTATTTCGTCACAATAAAAACGCGAAATAAAATGATTGAATTTACAATTTAATTAGTACAATAAAATGTGAACGTGTTAAAGTGGAATAATAGTTGCAAATTTTTGTTTCACTTTTCACAGTTTGTCGTACCGGACTCCTGATGTTAAATAACACGATAAAACTCATAGTTGACATCGTACTATTTTGTTTTTTTTTCTGGAAAAATCTTATTCATGACGCCGGCCGTGTTAGAGATCCCTGCGTTAGGTTAATAACGTTTTACACTTGCGAAGGAAAGCGATATGTGTTTTTCATAAAGAATGCAGAACTGCTACGTTGCAACGTAATTGCGAAACGTCGCTGTGTAACAAAGTAGTTAGTTTGTTTAACTCAAGTCCGCGCAGCCGACACGTGAAAGATTGTTGAACATTGAATAGAAAAGCTTATACAATTTTACTCATGCACGATATATTCAATCAAAGATTACCATTCGAAACAAGGTCCAGGTTAAAACGAGGACAAATCGAAGTTTTTGTTATTTAATTCGAAGGCTTTTCAAAAAAAATTCACGCTTTTCAATTTTGCCGATGTTCGTACGATAATTGCAACATTTCTTCATCTCATAATTAGTCTCCTAGATTGCCTCTCAAACAATATAAAACATGTCTAAATATAATATAAGGTTAGTGAGATATGAGGTTTCAAAGTTGCATAACTCACACGAGATAATAAGATAGATAACTATCGCAACTTTCACGAAACCGCACGATACCAGTATTATTCCACTAGGCAAATAGCAAGAAAAAATACTGAACTTACCCGAATATAATCCAAAACAGTAACAAATCTCCAAACAAATTAACAAACGAAACCTGATCAGCAGACTGACGAAGCTGAAACAAACCGAGGCTGCCGCGTTCCCGCGAATCGCCGGACTCATAATGAAGTCCGATATGCATCATTGCAGTCGGTGTCTCCCCTCGGTTTATAGTCACTTTGTTCTTGACCAAACAGCCCTGGTCTAAACAAGTTGAGGTTCATCTATTTACAGCACTAGCGGTGCTAGCGAAACTGTAATTTGCCGACGATTCGACTTCTATACAAAAAATCTTAATCAGAGCATGATGTGGTAAAGATACTAACGTAAATAAATATAGCAAAGAAAATTATCAGTGCGTGATATCTAATCTGAAGTTTAATTCTAATCTTTCTAATCGATAGTTTGATACAACAAGAGAGCTATGCTCAAATATATGGACACGTAGCGCCACCCAGTGGCAATATTTTGATGACGTCATAGCGAAAAAAAAGTAATAGCCTTCTGGAGAAAAATTTTATCTTTAACCACTGAAAATATCAAAGCAATTGGTCCAGTATTCGAAGAGAAAAAAATGGAGACGGAGACAAATAACAATAACAACAAAATTTTGAAACGATCGTTATGGCCACTAAACGTGTCCAATAAGTAACTTGGCGGAAGATTAAACAAGCTTGGGGATAATCTGAACAACGATTTCTAAGGGAGACTGGAACGTTTTATTATCATTCGTCGAATTTTTATCTTCGTTTATATGGTTCGAGACGAGCCTCCCTGTGATGTGTTTTGTGAAATCTTGCTGTTCTAACATTCAATACTTCGTGTGAGATATCGATGAATTTGGACTCCGTTCGTTCAACACAACACTGATGTAAACAGGACTCTCATCGCTACCGGAAGTCGCATGCATCAAGCACATTTTCTCACAAGTTCGGGAGAGAGATAGTCTTTCATTTTGAAAATCCATCAGCCTTTTCGCAGACCTCACACTCATAGCATTTCTGCCAGTGCGGCTTGTAACTATGCAAAGCCTTAGCTTAGCAATGTTATAAAAAGGTTCTCCAATTGCTTGAAATCGTAATGTTATTTTAAGTATAAAATCGAATATGCCTTTAATGTTTTTTTTTGTAAAAAACACCTTCCACATTGTTTACCTCCAGTATGGACAAAATAAGAAGGCAAATCATATTTTATAGTGTTTTTAATGAAATGGATGAGCTTGGTGTTCTTCAGCGATTTATTATTTGGTGACATTTTTGTCAGACACAATCTAAAATCACCCCGTTTTCTGATGGAAAGGCGATTTCATTGTTTTGATACCAATAGTAGCCTGAAAACCCGTTATTCATCACATAGGAGATCGGAAATGAAAGAACCCAGGGTTCTACTCCTTCGAAAACCGCCATGTACTTGCCTCATAGCCCATTTCACATTAAAATAATAAAAACAAAGTTAATTTTCCCAATTTTGTGATTTATGATTGTAATGATTTTACAGCCTGATGACCTGCACCAAAATACATGATATATAACGATCTTCGGTAAAATTCATCCTCGAATCCTCATCCTAACATTACCAGTCCAGTCCATGGAATTGATCAGTCATTTGTTACTTATCGATCTTAAGATCGGTAAGTATATTGATAGGTATTTGTCTGTATGTATGTCTGTCTGATGACCGCGATATCTCGCGAATGCGAGGTTGAATCTGCTCCAAATTTTGCATGTGCATTCATCTTATCTCGGACCAGAAACCTATTGATTTTGGGCGAATTATGTGGTATAATTAGCGAGTTATCAATCAATTATTGATATAGTGATCTAGATTTTTGTAAAGCGAGAGAATTTTGAGACCCGCCGAGTGTGTGTGTGCGATGCGCAGTGCGCAAGTTACAAGAGCGGATGAATCGAAACTGCAGTTTCTGTTTTGGGGGATCCCCTAACTATCGATCGATAAGTCTTCGGTTTCCAACCGATATTCTCGTTTTAGATTTGTCGACTCGAATGTGGAAAAAGCCTTGACCGACTATTATTTCACTTCGGCCGTATTTTGCGGACCACTGGTATACGCGAACTATCGTACCTTATGGCGGAGACGAGTCCAGCAATCCTTTCGCGTGTGATAATCGCCCACGTGATTCAAACCTACAAAAGCACGCAGAGTACAGTAATCAAGTGCACGATGCGCCGAACAGAACCAGGTTATGCGAAATCGCCCCCTTCGACTCCCCCCCCCCCTCTGTATCGTTTTCGCCCACCGGGAGGGGGGGGGGGGGTCGGCAAAATACGCCCACTTTGGGAATCACTGTATTAGAGCATAGCTCTTTTGTTTATTTTTAACATGAATATACTCGATGGTAATCGTGCGCTTCTTAGTTGAATCCATAGTAGCAGTCACCAAAAATAAGAAAAATAAAAATAAATTCAGTAAAGTATACAATTCCACAAATAATCCTCTTATTTAAAAGCTATAGATTAATTGCAGTAATAAATGAAAGCCAAACTCACTTTGAAATGTCAGTAGATAAAAATCCGTTTTCAATAATTTTAAACAGACAAAAAAGCCCCATATATTTTGCAATCCTTCCGCTAAGCTTTTACTAGTGCATTCAGAACAATATTTTCAGCTTAATTTATTTCAGTCACTTTTAAAAATTAACTTTTAGCAATATTAGTATTTCTATTATGGCGTCTAAGTACCATTTTGATTGTTGATTGCCACGCTTCGGCAAAGAAGTTTCTGCAACGTTGTGAACATTATATTTTTCAATATAAATGAACTAATGAATCGCTTCCTACAGATCACGCAAAAGACACACTGATATCATTTCTGCCAATATGGCCATGCGAGAACGTCTTTCTACATTTGACGCAACTGTAACAGCTTTTCCTCGTTTTTATTCGACGAACGGTTTTACTTTGCTCCTGTTCGAACATGATGCTTTTCGCGTATATGGATTTTCAAATGCCTTCTTAAGTTGGAACTATCTGAAAAACACTTTTCACACTGTTTGCATGTGTATGGTTTTTCTCCAGTATGGGTTCGAATATGAGTTTCTAAATGAAAACGATGCGAAAACTTCATTTCACATTGAGAACAACCGTACTGTTTTTCTCCGGTGTGCATTTTGACATGCCTCTTCAAGTTAGAACTGTCCGAAAAACGTTTTTCACATTGTTCACAAGTGTATGACTTTTCTCCAGTATGGGTTCTCATATGCCTCTTCAGACGGTCATGTGTTACGAAACTCTTTCCACAATGTTTACAAACAAAGGGTTTTTCTCCAGTATGGGTTCTTATATGCATTTTCAGATGATAATGTCTTGCGAAACACTTCGCACAATGTTTACAAACAAATGGTTTTTCTCCGGTATGGATTCTCACATGACGTTGTAATTGAGAATTATTCTTGCAGGACTTCTGACATTCTTCAAAATGAAACATTTTCTTCCGAGTAGGAATTCTTTTATGCTCTTTCAAATTACTTTTCGTAGTGTAGCGCTTATTACCATGTTCACAAGCAAATGCTTCATGTTCGCTATACATTTGTTTATGCACCTTCACTTGATGTGGAATAAATCTACAGCATTGTTCACAAGAATATGGTTTTTCTCCATTATGAATTTGAATGTGGCGACGGCATGCATTTGGTGATGTAAAACTTTTTTCACAAACGGACAGTCGTTTTCGTGTGAAGACTAGTGTATGACTTTGCAAAGATTCTTCCCGTGTATTGGACCTATCAAGTTGTTCAAAAGAGTACGACATTGTTTCTTCAATATTATGAATTGTTGCCGGTACTATAGATACAATTCCCTTGGATACATATACAGGTGACCAAATCACGTCGCTTCACAATTTACGAATAAGTCGTAATACATTCGTAACAAGATTTCTAGTATGGCCTGTGATACAATAAAACACATCAGAAGCAGACATTTATAATTTTTTGGTTTACTGGTACGTGTAGGCTCTAGAACAGTGGTTCTTAAAGTATGGGTCGCGACCCAAACATGGGTCGCGGAAGGTATAAAAATGGGTCGCGACAAGGTCGTCAATGCAAGGGCAATCTAAGAGGAGAAGGACGAATTTTCAGTTTTCCTAATGTTTCAATTTAGCTTCTAAACTCTGGTATTTAAAACTAATGTAATATAAAATTTCATTCACGGTAAGAACTGTCTTGAGCTCGTTGTTACATCACAATTCTGATATGCCAGTCACGTGTATTATTTATATGGTATCGGTAACCATGCACGTCGCTTGTCGTTGTGTTGACCGCGTGGAATGTCGTCTTAGTGGATTAAAATAACCAAAAATGGGTGTCTTTTTTGTAATGTAAATTGTAATAGACGACGCAATGAAAAAGCTCGCTTCTCGACATTAGATTATTCAATATCTAGAGAAAATGTGACTTCATCTCGAGGCACCATTCACCGTGAACGAAGCAGTGTGTGCACATTTGATGAGTGAAAGGTTGTATATTGCGAGAGATACCGAAGGTCAGCTAGGATGTCGTGTTTGCGACGGATAGCGGACGCCTTTTCTGCTACAATTCGCGACTTGTGCGAGCGAGGATATTTGGCACTGACGGTTATCAAAACTAAGCTCGCAATCGCCTCGATACCCGTGACAACTTGCGTATTGCGTTAAGTAAAATAGAGCTGTGTATTGAAGATATAATGAAAAGGAAATTTCAGTTTCATCAATCTCACTGAGTCAATGGACTGTTTCTAATAAATAGTTGTCTGTATTTGAGTCAAACTGTACTAACTTTAAAAACACATATTGCGTTATTTAGGATTGGGTCGCGAGTATTCATAAAACTCAGATTTGGGTCGCGCTCGAAAAAGTTTAAGAACCACTGCTCTAGAAGCATATTGAACATTGATCTAATACGCGACCAGTAAACTTAATCTTCAGCAGCAGAGTAGCAGGTTAAATAAAAGTAACTGGACAACCATTCTTCGTGTTAGTATATTTGTTGTCTATGTATGTTTCCCCGATCTTTGACCCCCAAGAAATTTTCGCTGCACTTAATTTTTAATGTTTATTCTGATTTTTTTTGTATAGTTGGCACTTAAAGAATGGTTTACGTATCTAAAACCATCATTTTCGCTTAAAACTTTCATACACGTGCCGCTTACAGGTACTGTTAGCTACTATTAGTCTGGTGAAGTCTATCGCAGCTTAGTCGTGACTAATTTTTATTATTATTGAACTAAAACTAAAGCTCCATAATAACAATTAAATTATTTGATTTACGAATTATTTAAATTTATGATTTACAAATAACACGTGTTTACAACAATGCATGGATGCATATTGAGGTATTATATCTGACACTGGCAAACAGCGGCCCGTTGGGTGATTAAATCAGGCTGCCATATATTTCTGGTTTTCTCCATTTCTTGATGTACTACATATTTCCGTGTAATTTAGTTTCCACGACTGTTGTGACAGTTTATTATTTATATAACAAAAATTATGGATTTAAGAATCTTAAAACACATCTTTACCTGAACACAAGAACATGCAACACAATTACATTGAGTCTTTAAGTATAGCGAAACTTAATCGAAACACCGTCTGATACTCGTAACAGTCAGTAACCAATGCTGTGACACGATAAGGTAGAGATACTAGCGTATATATACATGACGAAGACAATTATCATTGCGTGATATCTAATCCTAAATGCACGATAGATAGTTTGATATAATAGATATGAGTAATATAGCGAAAGTTCAAACAAGCCAGGGGACTAAACAACGATTACAAACAGACGAGAACAATATCGCTTCTTTATCAATTATCGATTTTCTTCTTTGTTTATTATTTATATGGTTCGAGACGACGTTTCCTGTGGTGCGTTTCTAAAATCCTGCGGTTTTGCCATCTAATGCTGTGATCTATCGAAAGGGCATGTTTGACTTTTTGGACTTCTTTTGTTTGACACAACGCCGATGTTTTATGCTTCGAGTTCCTAGACCTATTTTTTCTACGATCTCTACAGGATATCGCACGCGTCCCGCCGTTTTAATGTTCGGAAGATAGACAGCCTTTAGCTTTGTAAATCGATTGGCCAATTGTATTCTGGGATTTGAAACAGACTTTGCTATGATTCTCATGCCAAACCTAAAGCATCAGCGGAAGAATTTCACAAAATCGGATATTCATATTCACAAATAGTTAATATTCCCCGGGTGTGCGACATTTTTTCGCCATATAACTAACTTCTATCCGGGCCACACAAAACATACTAGTTCTTACATGCTGGGGATGCAAGAGAAAATAATGCGACTATTGCTTAGTCTTGCGGTAACGACGCCAGGTAAAATGATAAAAGTCGCCTGGAGTTCGCGGGCCGCCGGTTTCACACCCTAGTCTAAACAAATCAGTGTTTTACAACCTTTACAGACACATTTTTCCTATTGGGACTCTTCAACCCCCTCCTTATGCAAAAAAAAACCGTTTCAGTGGGAGCTTAATCATCAGTGGACTGGTGACATGCGCAACATGCACTTAGGTTTATGAATATTTTGTAATGAGAGCATACAATACTAATGAATGAATCAATATTAGTAATACTACCAGTGGCGTAGCGAGACTCTCGTGTTAATAATGTCTTGGTTATATCTTAAGTTATACACCCAAGAAATTATAGAATAAGGGTTCAACTGTATACGTATACACTTCTTTATTATACACCAGCTTTACAAACAACATAACATGCTTACAGCAACAGAACATACTAGCAAGTGACGCAACTGCGACACGTTAGCACTAGACAGATAGCACAATCAATTATTAGGGACGTTACTCGACAAGGCATTATAAGCCAGCATCAACACTCCCGCAAAAATATTTCGTGGAAATGACCCTAAAAACTCTCGGACATAAGCTAAGACGTTTTTTTTATTTCGTCAAAAAGCATAACATGTCGATATAAAAAGGCAATGGAAACCTAAAATTTGCGCTTTCGCGTTAGCAAACTCATCCACCATCTTCGTCATATCAAGTCGGGTCGAGCGTTCAGATTCAATACTCAGCAGCGCCAGTCCAGAGAGCCTTTCCTGCGACATCGTGCTTCTTAGATAATTTTTTATTAATTTCGGTTTCGAAAACGAACTCTCGGCAGTTGAGGTAGTTACGGGCAACGTTGGAAAGATCACCAAGGCTGTACAAATATCAGGAAAACTCAAATCTTTTCTCTTTGTTTGTTTTGTGTAATATGATACGGAAAACCCCCTTTTTCCGCTGTGTATTCCTCGGGAAAGGCCCTCGGGGTCGACACGAGCCTTCGTCATTTATAATTTTTTTTAATTTGTGCTGATTTCAACGCCAACAAAGTCCATGTACGATGGATACTGGCATTGTGTCAGCTTCGTTAGCGAATCGCCATCTAAAAATTAAGTTTTAGTCGTTTTTACACCAAATTATGCATCTCTTTCAATTTGCTTCAAAAATCAGTAGCTTACCTGTGATAATTGTCGTGTAAGTTTTGGAAGAAAATTCATTCGCGCCGGCGCCATCACTTTTGGAGATTGAACACGTATATGGTTTTACGGAGTTTGCTACCGATACAGTGGCGTAGCCACCCCAAAATGAGGAGGGGGGGGGGGGGTAAATTTGAAAATTTCAAAAAATTATATTGGGTTCAAGACACACTTTCTTCAAGCGCAAAACAACAACAGTTTATCAATAAGCAAACTGATTCAACAACTCAGCTGGCTTTTTGTGAATACAAAATCCATTTCAATAAACAACTTTTTATTTGAAACAACAAATATTAACAAGTGTTTGAATAAGTAAAATATATCGTCCCGATTAAAAGTCCATTCTTCGCTTCCCGCCGGCTATGCTCGACACAACTCGATTTATTTTCTCCTCGGTGACGATTTCACGGTGACAGTGAAGCACACACAAATCAGAAAGGACGATTGGACGTCATTGATGAGCGCAGCCATGTCTTTACCCGTTTCATGCATGAGAAAGACGCTCAGCCTCACAGGTGGTTGCTAGTAGCGTCATAGCGATCTGAATTGCGGTGTGCACGCTCGGATAATTTCGAGCGCTCAGAAGAAGCCCCTCAAAACATTTGTCTTTAACGTCGGAACTCAAAGAAGTTCTCCACAGCCTCACTTCATTCTGGAGGTTATTCAATAAATACAGACGCTCTACCTCATTCACGTGAACTGGTTTGTTCCGTGGAAGAATTGATAGCAATGAAAAAAATGAAGGGTTGCCAATGCAGCGTTCCCGAATAGAGCAGCTCAAGCCGTCGACGTATGGGAGATATACGGAACGTTTAAAATACTGGGATGCTGAATCAGCACAGACATTATCGCGATAAACTTGTACTTCGACTACTCTGGGTATTGTCAACTCTTTCAAGCCAGCTATTTCACAAGCTTCTTTGTAAATGTTCAATGAAATTTCCGAGTCATTGCGTTCTTCAGCGATAACGCTCTGAAGAGAGGATGTGAAGTTCTTTACTGATGGCACACTGACTCCGACCGCCTGAAGTGCGCGCGCTAGTGGCTCCATCAGTGCCGAATATCGACCAATCAAACATACGGCGTAAGTAACGGAAGACTTTTCCAGAGCAGATTTCAGAGAGAAAGCCTTCGCCCGCGTCACACTGTTAGCATCTCTTGCCAAAGAATCAAGAGCCTCAAGTACTCGTTTGGAGTTGCATTTGAAGATTCGGATGCTCGTGTATCTCTCAGACCATCTGGTGGGGCAGAACAAAGGGATGTTAATTCCTAAACACGCGCGCCTTTTAGGGCTCTCCCTGAAGAAACGAATAGTCTCCCGAATGATATCACAGGTGCTTCTGATGATTGCAACTTTACTTTGGTCATTTATGACCAAATTCAAACGATGAGAAGCGCAGTGCACAAATATTGCGCGCGGGTATCGATCACGAATGCGTTTTTGCACACCACTGACGTGACCTACCGTTGTCATTGCACCATCATTACCTTGCACCACAAGATTTTGCAAATACACTCCTATACCAGAGAGGTGGGTCAAAATATTTGAGGAAATTGACTCGGCAGAAACGGAACCCATTTCCACTAATCACGTGAAGCGCTCGCACACTTCACCACCTTTCACGTACCTCAAAAAGATGCTTAGTTGTTCTTTCCAAGAAATATCATATGATTCGTTGGCTAATACGGACACAAACAATTTATTAGCCTCCATAACGATATCTTGCACTATCATGTTGCTTGCTACCTTGAGAATTTCATTCTGTATCATCGGGCTTGTATACTTGGCGTTACCGGTCATTCGAGAGAAATGCTTTTTCAAATCTTCATCCCCTGCGTCGATACGAAATGGTAGAAGGTTCACAAAATTTCCACTATTCCCGGAATGTCCGTGCAAGGGTATGTTACCAGAAGCACAGAACATGACAGTCTTGACAATGGAAGTCATTATTTGTCTGTTTTCTTTTGTTGCGCACATTTTGACCAGTTTCCATGCTTTTGACAAAATTTTTCGCAGCTATAGTTGATTCTCGATGGTAATTTGTGTCTCGTTGGGCTACAGCCTTTTCCATAAGAGCGAACGATCAAGTCTTTGTGACGTAACAATGACAATCAGCAAGCGTGACGAGACAAGATTGCCACAAAACTGGTGGATTAATTAAGAATAGAATTATCGAAAAAAATTTTACATAAGACACATGAAATTTCAATCAATTGTTTACTTCATCACTATTGAGCAATGCAAGAATGATTTACTGCAAAAATTATTTACCTTACTGTTTATTTACTAAGCAACAATTACAGACAGACTCCTTACCTTTCCTAACGTTTCCAAAATTCACTACCAATACAATTGGACAACCACCAGGTTAAAAAATACAGTTTACAAAAAGGAGAATTGCGAATGAATTAATGTAAATTTAAAAGCAGTTCATTTTTAATAGTTACAATGCATGTTGATGTTTCTCCGGCCCTCGATCGCTGAAAATAAAGTCGCTCAGGCGTTTGCGATTGCATTTTGTTTAAATCTCGATTGTTTTCATCAGCATGGCGTTAATTAAGCCGTACATATTGCAGGGACAGGTCATATTGATGTGATTTGCAGGAATACGAATCAAAACAAAATGTAATCGGGCACTTTGCCACACATTTTTATGTCCGCGGATTACCGTGTTTTTTTGGGGCAGTGGTGCTCTTATTTTATCGACGCAATCGCAGATTTCATTAAATAAATAAAGCAACCATTAAATATGTATATCGGTCATGGATTATATATTTTATTCAACAGAAAAACCATGACATATCCATTGAAAAAGTTGGGTCTTTCAACGAGTGTCGTAATCTCGATGACTGACTCAGGAGCCGTACCGCAGGGATTTCGAGTCGTTGAATATGTATTTTTCATCTAGCCTACTAATATACTTTATATTTATTTGAATTGTACCAAATTAAATATACTTTTTGGGATATTATACCAGATCTTTCTAACGACGATAACAAATTCGCATGAGCGCAATATATATCAAAACTGAATATAAATATAAATCGGGCAGTTGATCACACATTATTATGTCCGTGGATTGGCGTGGTATTTTAGATTGGTAATCAGTTTATTTTGTCATGAGTCGCCGCAACCGCGAGTTACCTTGAACACAAATGAATTGAAATA